CCGCCCTCTTTGGTCACCATTTACATGGAGTATCTTTTCCCACCTGTTTACCTACGACCTGTGTGTGTCTTTAGAGCTGAAGTTAAGCTGTTAAGTTCTACGTGTAAGTTGTATCTTGTTTTTTCATCCCCCAGCTAGTCTACAGCTTTTGGTTGGGGCTGGTTTGGTTAATCCATTTACACTTAGGTTAGTGTTGAGAGGGAAGGGCTCAGTATTGCCATTTTGTTAATTTTCCTCTGTATGTCTTGTAGCATAGCTTGGTTTTTTGTTTGTTTTTATCCGTCTTTCCTCTCTGCCGTTCTTTGTTTTATAGATTTTTTTAGTAGTGACATGATTTAACTCCCTCCTTTTCTTTTGTGTATATGCTGTAGATGTTTTCTTTGTGGTTACCATTGCAATTATAGAAAACACTTTAAAGTTATAACATTCCATTTTAAACTAATAAATTGCATGTAGAAACTGCAGTCCTTTACACCCCACCCCCTGTATGTTACTGATGCTGCTGCACGTTACACCTTCATGTATCGTATGTCCACTAACACAGGTCTATAGTTACAGAAGTTTTAATGGTTTAAAATTTTAATTTCTGTAGTCATTAGTATTAGTGGCTTTTTTCATTTAAATTCTGTGCACCCAGATCACAGTAATACAGGTCACTGTTTTGTCTGTGTATTTACCTTTTCTACAGAACTTTTCATTTTTGTGTGGCTTCATGTTGCTGCCTGGCATCCTTTCAGTTTGAGGACTCCCTGTAGCAGTTCTTGTAGGGCAGGTCTAGTGGTAAGGACCTCCCTCTGCTTCTGTTTATTTGAAAGTCTTAATTTCTCCATTTTTGAAGAATAGCTTTGCCGGATGGCTATTGTTGGCTAAGTTTTTTTCTTTCAGTACTTTGACTATATCATCCTCTCCTTTCTGGCCTATAACACTTCTACTGAGAATCTGATCATCTTAGGGGGGCACTTTGTTATGTGACATTTTGCTTTTCTCTTGCTGTTTGCAAGACTTCTGACTTTTTTAAAAACTTGAGATTTAACTGACAATGTTACAGGCAGACCACATTTTGTAGAGCTTCACTTTACTGCACTTCGCAGGTACTGCCTTTTTTTTTTTTCCCACAAATTAAAGGTTTGTGGCAACTCTGCGTTGTCAGGTGATAGCGTTTTTTAGCAATAAATTATTTTTTGGCCCGGTATGTGCATTTTTTTTGACATGCTGCTGCTGCACACAATATACTACAATGGAGTGTAAACAGAGCTCTTAGAGGCACTGAGACACGTAAGACTTGGTTGTGTGACTCGCCTTGTTGCTGCTTCTGCTTTATCGTGGGGGGTCTGGAACCAGACCTGCAAGACCTTGAGCTGTGCCTGCATGTTAGCGTCCAGTGTACAATGCAGTGAGATTCAGTGCTTTTACATACACAGCAAGTGTAGCTACATCCATCACCACACTTGTGTACAAACTTGTGTTTCTTGTGAGAACTTTCAAGATTGACTCTTTAAGCAACAATTATGTACACAACAGTGTTGTTAATTACCTGTAGTCACCAGGCTGCACATCACCTCCCCAGAACTTGTTTTTCATAACTGGAAGTTTGTCCTGGACCCACTTTGCCCCTGGCCACCACCAGTCTGTTCTTTGTACCTCTGAAGAACTCAGGTTTTGTATCTTTCAGCCCACATGTGAGTGAGATCATGTGGTATTTATTTTTCTTTGAGTTATTTCACTTGTTTAGCAAAGTGCCCTCAGGATCCATACATGTTGTTGCAAATGACAAGATTTTTCTTCTTTACGACCGAATAATATTCCATCGTCTGCATACTAGTTCTTCACCAGTGGAGATTTACTTGCTTCCCAGCACTCCAGGGCCCCATTTTGCTCCTGCCATTCACCACCCTGAATGTATCTTTTCAAAAGTAACTACTTTCCTGACTTCTTTATTCTGACTTTTAGTCTCAGGTTATTTTTTCCTATTTTTGAACTTTACATAAATGGAATTGCACTTTGTGCTCTATAAAAAGTATTAAAAAGGACATGTAGACAATGCACACATCATAAATGTTCAGCTGGATGAATTCTAAGAGCAAACACACCCACATAACCAGCATCTGAATCTGGGTGGACCTCCCAGGACCCCCAGAGGTCTCCAGCCCTTGCAGTTGCTGCCAGCCCTCCCGTTCGTCTCATCCCCGAGGAAAACCTCTCTGCGCAGCACAGGTCTGTCTGTACTGCGCTGCACGTCCGGGAACCAGACAGGATGAACTGCTGTGTGTCTGGCCTTCGTCCCGCACGTGCGAGGCTCGTTCTCACCACGTGTGGCGCTTTCGCTGCTGCTGACTCTTCTGCTGCTGGTCCTCCCCTTCCGATTTACTAGGCAGCGGAGATTTCCACAGGCTGTTTTGAGGAGGGCTGCTGTCAGCGTTGCCGTACGCGCCGTTTGGCGCGCACGCACCCACGTGTGTTGGCAGCTGTTGGGCCAGCGGGAGGAGAGTGGGTGCCAGGTTGCATGGTCTGGTGCGCTGGGCCACACCCCACAGACCCGTGTGTGAGGGCGCTGGCGGCAGTTTTGTCTTCTCCGCTCACTCCCCCCCCCCACAGGTTACCACCTTAGACATTAAGGGCGCAGCTCTGTGGCACCGGGTATGCTGGTGATGCCGAGCGCCCATCACTACCAGCCATCTCTGTGACTCTCTTCTGGTAAAACTGACGCTGTGTGCCCGCGGAGCAGGAACTCCCGCTCCCTCCTCCCACAGCCCCTGGCCCCACCGTGCTCCTGTGTCTGATTCTGACCACTCTGCCTCGTTATCAGTGGAGTCACTGTGTTTGTCCTCTGGTGACCGACCTGTTCCACTTAGCACCCTGTCCTCGGGGTCAACCCCGGTCAGAGCATGAGCTTGTTTCTTTTTAACTTACCTGCTTACTTTCCGATGTAGGTAAGAAACTTCACAGGCCCATTTTCATTTTCAGCTTATCTTTATCTTTCATCATTTCCAGGTTATCTCCACCCCTCGTATTCCATTGTTCTGTCAGCATCGGTATTATTGAGAGCGCTTCTCCCAGGTGAAAAATCCCTGGGTTTCTGTAGCGCGATTATTTCCAAACAGAAAATTAGACAGCGTCAGGTCCGGCTGCCCAGGGAGAGGCCCATTAGGCTTTGCAGAGCGTTTGCCCTGGTGAGAACTGAACTACGACTTCTTAGCAAAACCGCACTAACACAGGACGGTGTGAGACAGAAAATGAGGCTGTTTTACTCCTCATGTAATTAAAGCCACTCCTCGAGCTTGTGGGCCCCCGTCTCGGCCTCCCCGGACCAGCAGGCGTGCTGGGGAGCGGGCGGGGAGAGGCCGCTTCTCGGGGGGAAGGGCAGGTGGAGGAAGGTCTTTTCTCCCCTCTCTTCCCTTGTTAGTTGCCTCTTGAGGTGGATTTAACTAAAGCAAAGAGACAAGACTTTGAACCATCTGTGGAGCGAGCCAGATACAGCAGCTGCCGACAGAGCATGGCTCTGGGACCCCCAAAACCACCAGAGGTGCCCTCCCCTTGCAGACCAGACCACTCAGATGGCCCCCATGTTGTGACACTGGGGGACAAGGACAGCAGCTCCCGGTACGCACCCCCGCTGCCCCTTCCCGAGTGTCCCCCGTTACCTCCTCCTGCCCTTGCAGCAAGTGTGGGTGGCGCGCTCCCTCGGGGACTGCGTGCTGCTTCACCAGGTGGTCCAGGAACCCGCTCCCACCCTGCTGCTCTTCCGACACAGAAGCCTGACCTCCTCCGCCGCCGAGAGCGACGCCACACACCAGCGGAAGCTCCGGCAGAAGCAGCTGCAGCAGCAGTTCCGGGAGCAGATGGAGAGACAGCAGCACCTGTCTGCCCCGCCGGCCAGGAAGAGGGACCAGGGTGAGGGGCCGCAAGTGGGGCCGGCGGGGGCTCGGGGTGGGGGGCGTCGGCTCCAAACAGGACTCAGCAGGACTTCTCTCCAGGTGTGCGCAGGACAGACCAGGCCAAAGAATTCAGATCGTGACGTCCTGCCACGCATTTCCCCGCGACTAAAGACACTGACTTGGGGGGCAGGACACAGGCCTTGACGTAATCTGGACTAGACATCTCGGGGTACAGAACTTTTCTTCACCCTCTGTTACTTTGGCTACGTCTGCAGGAGAAAGCCTTCTGAGCTGTCTTTGAACGTAAAGCAAAGTTGGGTTTGAAGATAATGGGGGCTTTTGGCAGTCCTTTATCCATGGACTTCATTTTAGTGTCCACATTCACTGAGAGTGGTAGATAGACTTTTCCTTTTTTTTGGAGTCTTTCCCAGAGAGTAGGGGAAAAAAAAGGGGGCTTATCCAAGAGCAACTGGATTTTTGCCCAGCTTCTCCCTAAACATTATGAAGAAAGAGGGCTTGCTCTATGTTTAGTTTCTGGCATTGCCCTCAGCACTGACAGGCTGAAATTACTGCAGGACAGAACCCCAGGCCGCCTGTGCCGGGGGCGTTCTTAGTGAGCGTCGCAATGCGGGAGCCTCAGCGCGCGCCGCGGAGGCCCCGGGGGTGTTGGGTGGAGGGGGCGTCCGCCAGGGCTTCCCCCACCCCCAGTCAGACCGACAGCTGTTACGTTGGTTTTACATGTTGGTTTCTGCTTAAGATTCTGTTTGAGCAAGGGTTATAGCTTTAAAAAGTAAAAACCAGATGGGAAGGCTCATAATAACCCTTCTACTTCTGCTGGCAGAGGAGAAACCACCCCCCCGCCAGTACAGCGAGAAAAAGAAAACAGTATTAGCAACCCCATTTTACGCAGCTCTGTAGGCAGGCCTGGGACGCAGCATCTGGAGCCACCCTGGCCGCGCTGCGCCGGGGACGCCACACCGGCCCGCGGCCGCCTCGCCCGCGGCCGCCTCCCCGCCGGCCATGGCTCTGAGCTCCGTCCTCTCTCTGCAGCGGCGCCGCTGGTGCCTCCTGCCGAGCACGGCGCCTCCGGAACTGCGGTCTCAGAGCCAGGAGCCCAGACAGACGTCCTCACAGGTCAGTGGGGCTGACGGAACGGCCTCGGTACTCATCAGTAAGCACCCATGAAGCCCTGGAGTCTTGGCATCACAGATACCTGACTTCCATCCGCTCTGTAGAGGGAGGGCCCAAGTGGACGGATGGCAGTTCTGACCGCCGCAACCGCACACACTCAGCTCCTCTCCTGTCCTAACCGCAGACACGCTCAGAGAACCCACTCTTCGGGGTTGGGGAAGAGCAATTCCAAACACCGCTGTGGGGCACTTGTGACGTGCAATTTCTTACGACCTGTTTTCTCCAGCACTTCCTGTGCAAAGGTTACATCCTCCTGTGTCCTCTGTCCTTGCAGACAGTCTTGAACTGTGGGACCTGGCTCCAGATGCAGGGGACAGTGTGGTCAAGCCCTCATCTAAACCACAACCACCGCAGACTCCTGCCACCTCAGTCCTGAAGAACCAGGTGGAGACCCAGAGCAGGACCCCACAAAGCCTTTGCCAACAGAATCCACCAGCAAAACCTGGACCCTGGCACCTCCAAACCTATAACCCAAACCAGCAACTAACAGGTAGCAAAGCGTTTTAGGAGCAGGGACTGAACGGAGAGCCTGGGCCTGATTCTGTGAGTTTTAGAGGAAGGATGACACTCTGTTTTAAGAAGCCGGAGGGACCCATGCCAGACAGCAGTGAGAGAGCAGGGCAGCTGGTTCAAGAGCTCCAAGCCTCCTCTGGGCCGCGACTCGGGGAGTAGCCCCCTGTGGTGGGGGGCGCTTAAGCGCTGCGTGAGGAGCCTTCCCGGTAGAGTCGGGCCCCTGTGGCTCCCAGCGCAGCTTGGTTTGGGGCTCGCCGCGCACTCGGTCTTGCTGGTGGCAGTTTTCACCCCCGCGCTTTTAGTCTGAAGCAGGATCGCTAGTTGATACAATTCGCAAAGTATTAGCTATCACTTCGTTCCTCATTTTAAAGTCACGGCAGCTACATTTAAATGACTTTCTCTCCCACAGGAGACTGTGACTCCTCTTGGAAGAACCAGGACATGAAGAAAAGGAAACTGGAGCCGTCTTAACCGAGGCACCTCACTGGACTGTCACGGGGGGATGGTCACAGACTTCGTGGGCGTGAAATGACTCGTCGTTCCTGGGGAATGAGCTTTACTTCCAGGCGTTTGCCTTGCTTCATTCTGAACCTGACCAGAGGCTGCGGCTCCTGGAACCTGCTGCAGACAGAGCCCGGCGGCCGGACACGAGCACTTCACAGAAGCGTCACACGTGCAGCGGGCAGCTCTGCCAAGACAAAACCCCTCTTCTTTGGTCCTTGAGGCTCCTCACTGTTGACTGCTGAGCTGTCACAGTGGTGAAGACAGGAATTCTAGGAGCCCCCGTGGCTCCTTGCTCCTGGGCACCAGCCTCAGCAGGACGCCGCCGATGAGCCGAGCTCCCGCCCCGGAGGGCGGCGCGCTCCTGATGCTGCCTCGTGCGGCTGCCGCCTTCTCCGACAGCCCCCAGTCTGCCGTTCGTGACGTCTCCTAGTCAAGGAAATAATCATCTAAGACCAAAGAAAAGGCATTTTAAGACAGCAAAATAAATCCTTTGTAACATAATGCAGGCATACCTCTCTTAATTGCACTTTGCAGATATCGTGGGGGTTTTTAAACAAATCGAAGGCTTCTGGCAGCCCTGTGTCAAGAATTTTCCCAACGGCATTTTAAAGTATATATTGTTTTAGATATAACACTATCACACACTTAACAGACTACAGCAGAGACATAATTTTTATGTGCAAAGGGAGCCCCACCCGTGACCTAAGTAGCTGTTCACATTCGCCTGTTGCAGATGTGAGCTAGAACCCACCTCGGCACAAATTGTTTATTCATAGTGTTGAGATGTTCATAACTGTTTCCTGCAAGTAATGAATGTGCAGTTTTACTTTCCAAGGACCCTTTTGGGCTGTGCTTTTAATCTTGAAATGGCGGCTCTCATTACTTGTTGGATCACAGACCCACTCGCAGGAAGCTGTGGCCCTGGACACATGGGGCCCCTGGGCCCCTGGTGTGCCTCCAGATGACAAAGAGGCTGGGGCTCTCCCTGCCTCCCTTGACCTTACCTGCTGTTCCACAGACTGGGTCATATATTCAGCTTTTAATTTCGATATCCTTGCACTGTCTTCAGAAAAAAAAAACTCCTTGTCTGCAGCATCTTAGTTCAGGGAGAAGTGCCGCTTAAGAAAGATCCTGGAATTAGGAATCCAGTTATAAACTGCACACAAGTCAAATCAGAGCTGCTGAGACCATGAAAAAGGCATTGCTGGAAATGAAACCCCACAGCTCAACAAAAGCAAGTCTGGTTTATTTGAAGGTCTCAAGTATGTCTACAAAGGTAACAAACCGAAGCAGGAAGCGCACCCCCCAGGTTAGTGCCAAACGCACAGGAATCCCCAAGGTTTCAGTTCAGTTTATTTGTTTTTTAAACAGTGTACATTGTTAAATAATGTAAGGAAAACATTTATAATTCAGAAAGTTGTTTTTTAATGTGGAAAAAGATGCTCAAAGTGTACTATTAACACAAAAAATAATTTAGACAGTTCAGTAGCACTAGTTCATTCCTCTAGGCCTCAGTTATTTCGTCCACAGGAGGGAAAAAAATCAACAGTAAATAAAACCAGTTCTTACTTTCCACATGTGAGTGAAGATCTCAGAATGATTAAACCAAAATAACAGTCACGTGCTGCACCTGGCTCCCTCATCCCTCTGGTACCAAGCACTGCCTCCTCCGTCTCAGGTGTCAGGGACCTTTTTCCTTGGCACCTTGTCCTGTCCTGACTCCTTCCATCTCCCTGAGGATCGGAAGCAGAGCTTGGAATGCCTGCCCTTCTCCCACCTTCCTAAACTCTTAATCTTTCACTTGCATCTTCGGGGCCTTGGTGATCTTAAGAAAATGGCCAGTGACAGACAGGACAGGACGGGATAGCCAACCAGGGTCCTCCTGCCATGGCGGCTCCTGGGATGAGCCACTGAGGTGGGTAAGAGGCTGGAAACATGTCAGTTTCCCAGCTCAAGAGTCAAGAGGAGAAGCACCCCAAGGATTAGGAGTCTTGGCTTATTTCCCCATCTTCCGAGAGAATAAAGATCTCAAGCACAGCCAATTAGGAGAGTATCTCCTGAAAGCTCTGAGAAGAACACAGCTGCCCATTACAAGCAGGCACAGCACTGAGTAACACTGGCTGGTTGCAGTTACTGCTCAAGGGGAGCATCTGTTTACGTGAAAGTGTGAGAACACCCGTTGTAAGTCTAAAGGTGGCACAAGAGGTTATGATCCTGCAACCACTCGGGCATCATACGGCAAACGGACAGGAATAAGCACTTTTTCTCACAATGCTTCCTTCAGACGCAGGTCCACTTTCCACAGACTGCAGTACCCAGGCTGAGAAACGCACAGTCCGTTTGCAACAAGAGGGGAGCAATCCAAATGACTTTTCTTAGAGCAACTTCCTCCACCTGTGACTTCTCACGATCACACCTCCCGTCCAGCCCTCATCTGCCCTTTTCATTCAGCCACTTCAGGTCTGGTCTGCTCGAGCCCAGCTCAAGGAGGGAAGGCTCGTGGCACCCAAAGGCCTTCAGGCAGGTTTGTCCTCCTGTTCTTTAGTCTTTGTTTCTTTCATCACTTACCACACGCCACCCTTAATCTTTTAAATCGCCCAGTTTTGTTACAATACCCCTCTCCTCACTTATCCTGAAACAGAGTTTTCTGCTTTTAACCACTGATGTCAACTTCTCACCTTGCTCATCTTACACCTGCTCTAGACAAAACTGCTTAATGACTTGGAGAAAAAACAAAAAAACAAAAACAAAAACCTCAGTTTCCTTATGGCAGAGTCCACAGCTGGGGTCGCGCAGACCCGAGACTTCCTTCCACATGCCCTTTGCTGATTGGGGTCAGATGAGAAGGTGATGCTAACGGCAGAAGCAATAGAAGAAGTCCAAGGCACTAAAACGTCCAGCGAGCAGTACTGGGAGAACATAAGTGTTCAAGTACAGTAATTTATACAATTTTACATTCACATTTATTTATTTATTTAATACAATGGAAATACAAAGGAGAAAGTTAAAAGTCTCAATAAGTAAAGGACAGAGCTAGCCTTTTTCAACTTTTTAAACCTTTCATACTTTACTCTTAAAACTACTGTTGTCCAACAACATTTATATAATATCACAGTGTTTCCACATCAAAACTGATGGCAAAGTTACATGTCCGCAGGGAACTTAAATTCTTTTCCTAATTGCTAATGCTGCAGTCAAAGCTGCGAATACCATTTGCTTAAAGCACTAATGACCTATCGTAAGGAAGGGCTGAGGCCTCAGTCCCCTGGTGTCCTCACTGGGCTCTGAAGAGCTGACCGGGGGGCGGGGGGGGGGCGGTAGGAGAGAACCCAATCCTTTTTGGTTTGGTTTTGTTTTCTTTTGTCTTGTGATTTAGATTCTTGAGGGAATAAAGAATTTGGGGTGGGTACCAAAATTAAGAGCCCCACTGCTTGAAAACACAGCCTCAGCTCTCCTGCTGAGCTCTCTAGTGGCTTTCTGACAGAGAGGACTGCCTTTCCCAGCGCTCGCTGTTGGGTAAAGATAAACAACAAAGCATACACGAGAAAGCTGCTCTTCCCTTCTCATCCCACCGCAGAGAACAGTGACAGCAGAGGGACAGTCCCCACTCAGAGGGCTCTAAGCGGCATGGACACATTCCTGTCTGAAATAACCAGTTAAGTGCAGCACTAGTAGTTAGTATATAGGCTACTTTCCCACCCCACCCCCCACCCCCCACCGTTCCACCTCCTGCCCCCACACCTACTCGGCGGGTGTCTCTAGGTCTAAGTGGTCCGCAGGTTGGAACCTGGGGGGTTGCTGATGGACTTCTGCAAACTGCTGATGTTGAAATTCTGCAAAGACGCAGTTCCCACAGGCTGGAACTGGCTAAGCGGCTGTGGTGCTGGGCCACCCGTCCCGCTCCACTGCGTGCCAAAGGGGGGTGCTGGGAAGCCGTACTGCTGCGGGGGGCACATGGACTTGGTGAAGTGAGCCAGAGAGGTAGCTGATGCCGCAGCGATGGGGGCAGAGCTGCCCAGGTTTGAGGTCATGGAGACGCACAGCTGACCGGGCGCGGAGAACTTCCTCGCCATGCCAGGGCCCTGCGGACAGAACGGTGCCACGTGAGGTTCGGCGTGGGCGCGACAGGGCGGACCTGGGCAGAATTATAGACCTAGGCTGCGATGATCTTACAAGGACAGTGAAAACCAAGCCTTCCATGGTGACTGGCGGCTATGTGCTCACCAAGTACCGGAGCCGTGCATGTGCGCGTGCAGTTCAGGTGTTGAAGGAAAGGGAGGAAAAACGTTGACCGATGGGAGCGAGGGACTCAGGGAAAGAAAGCTCAAAGGGGATGTGGGTGCGCTGTCTTGTTTTGTGGACAGTGCTAAAGCTGGTGACCTACTGACAGAGGAGGCGGGCGTGACTCAGGTGTGTGCAGTGATGCTCTGATGTCAGGGAGACTCACCTCGTAGCTCGTGTGCCCTTTGCTCCCTCTCCTGCCTGAGAGACTCATGGCGTCCCGGGCCCAGTTGTCCACCAGCTTGTGCAGGTCGTCGGTGAAGGTGCCCTTCCTGCCGGACGCCATGGCAGGAGGCTGGGCCGGGGCGGCCTGGCTGTTCATGGCTCCCCCGACGGTGTTGGTGCTGCTGGTCCCTGGAGTCAGAAGAAGCCACAGAGGACAACCATTAAAAGGTGCTTGAGTTGTAACTTCAGGGGGAAGGACGGCCTCACAGGACGATGAATGGCAAGGCGCGGAATGGGGAGGATGAACTGGGAAGCCATGCGACAAAGGGGGGGCTCCGGTCTCGTTTAGCTAAATGTTTTGGTGTCACAGGGTAATGGGGACGGTGCGCCTCAGGAGTGACAGCCGAGGCTGAACAACTCAGGATGAGGGACGGCACCAAGGGCAGGGCCCTCCTTCTGCCCGTTCTCACAGCCTCAGGGAGGGCGGACACTCTCCGCCGGCCTCTGCTCTTGGCATCGCTTTGAGGAAGGCTGTGCGGAGTGGCCAGTGAGGCTGGCTGCTCTGGAATGTTGCAGAACAGGGCAAAAGAAGAGGATCCCTCGAGCACGGGGCAGGGGTCATGTCGCAGTTAAAGGAAAGCACAGACAGGCCGGGGGAAAGATGGGCTCCCAAACCATGGGGTACCGTCACGGTCCTCAGCCGCTCCTTCTCAGGAGGGCGATGAGAAAGGATGCTCTGGTCACACACTTTCCCCCCTGGACCCAGACACGAACTGCAGACATACACTTGGGAGAGCGAAGGCTTCAACCTCTCCCAACTTCCTGTGAGTAAAGAACCAGGAGGACTCACGAGGAAGTTCTGTGGTGTACCCGAGCCTTTCAACTCCAGGACCACATGGCTTCCTGGAGGTGACACTTCAGTTTCAACTGGTTCAAGGATTCTCACCTTTCCCCCTCTTCCCGGAAGAGCAAGCACCTCGGGTGGGCGCAGCAGGAATGCCCAGCTGAGGAGGGGGTGCACAGGGGAGGAGGAAGCTCTGGGGCTGTGATGAAGGAATTCTAGTTCTACGGTTTGACAAGAAAGAAAGGAGTCTGTGTCCTGCCTGATTTCGGCTCTGCTGGCGGGCACACTGAAGGAGGTTCGAAGAGGCGAGTTGGGGGAGAGGGAAAGAAGAGTCATGGGCTTGTTTCTCCCCTCATCCCCCCTGTCTTACCAGATCTCACATTTGCTGCAGAATAAACGAGAACTACCAGAGTGAGTCGTGAGCCCCAGGACTTGAGACAGCCACACAACGCTGGGGCGGGTACGGAAATGCAGCCGTCTTCCTGCTCTCCAGGCCAGAGCAGCTCCAGAGCCCAGCAGCACACCTGAAGCAGCCCTGCCACCCGAGAGCCCTCTGTCGCCCACCGCTGTCTCAAGGCGCCCGGGATGGCACACACCAGCGTATCTGTGCCAGAGCAGCACCCAGTTCTGGGGTGAAGCTGCGAAGTGAGGAGGTCACATGCTTCCACCACCAAGGCAAGACAGGGACCCACTGCCCCGTGTGCGTCAGCTCCCATCTCAGCGCCGGAGCCCCAGGGCCGCTACCGCCCCCGGTGGGAGCAGGAAACCCAGGTGAGAAGTGGACAAGCACAGGGAACAGCAGGAGGGATGCAGGACGGGTGGGGAGCACAGGCAGGGAGGAGAGCAGTCATGACCACGGGCACATCACATGCATGAGGACCACCCCGTCCGAATGACCACCGCCCGGTGAGCTGGATGGCGGGTGAGACAATTCAAACGACACACAAATAACCCCCAGTGAGCAGAGCCGTCAAAAGCCAAATACAGAAGCTGGCTGAGGTGAACCCCGCTGTTCACAACTGTTCACACTGGAGCCACACCTGCTAGACCCATGCTCGTCGCCTTTGATGCTGTGAGGCCCCTTTAAAGCCAAACTTCATTTTTCATTTTAGTCTGTGTTACACAACACTGGATTCTGAAAGTGGGGTTTATACCACGAGGCAGAGTCAGCCCTACAGGCAACCTGCTTATTCTGGCTGCTGAAAACAGGGTTTCCCACTAAAGGAGACAAATACATCCCTTTCTGACCAGAAGTGAACTCCCAGGAGAAGCTGACTTGGCTGATGAAACCTAGGAGAAGGGCTAGTGGGCTTGGTCCAGTGTCAGAGGGTAAGCAGACTGCTCAGAGCTTCCCACCGCGCTGCATGCCTTCCCGAGGGGCCAGCCCTCTAGCCCTCAAGCCCTTTTCAGTTCTGCTGAAAGGCTCCGAGAGCGATGCAGCTTTACTGGCAGGAAGGCCCTTTCTGACGCCCTCCAGCTGTAGCGCGACCCCCCCACCCCCACCCTCCGCCCCGCGCCGCTGGGGCCTGGCAGCTACAGCCTCACAGTCACGCCCAGTCTCCCAGGCACCGCTTTCTGGCGGCGCCTCTCAGAGGCCTGCTGGGTGGTTGCACCGTCTGCACTTTCATGGGGAGCCACTCCTCCACAGGCGGCGTCCCCGCCTCAGCAGGCTACGTGAGGGCGGGGCCTCTCGCACGCCTTGACCCCTGCTGACTTTCCAGCAGCAAACAGTGTTTCTGACTTAAGGACTCTCTCCCTGAGGAGCCAGGCATCCCTGATCCTCTACGTGGATCCGTGGGCGTCCCCCACCCAAAACCGGCCCGGAGCCAGGTGCACTGGGCCATCACTGAGAGTGCTGACTAGGAGGTGACCTTGAATCTGTAAGGACGGCCAGTGGCAACAACTGAGCATGTTAAAAAGACACCAGAAAAGGGAGCAGGACTAGCCAGATGGGGGCTGGGAATCCGGGAGTCGTGAGGCTTCAGGGTTCAAAGAACTCAAGGGCAACAGGCTTGCAATCAAGGACCGGAAGTAACAGAAAGAAAAGATAATTACTACAGAGCTGGTTGCAAGGACAGACTTTTTTCACCATCTTCCCTGAAGCACAAAAAGAGAGCAATGTGTTAAAGATAAAGAAGCATCAGTTTAAATATTTAGAATCTCCAAACAGCACACCAAATCCCAGCAAGAGAAAGCAGAAGGGGAGACAGCCTGGACGGACCCGGGAGCCTGCCACAGACGCCGTGCTGCGGGATGGATCTCACGGGCTGCTGGCCTGAGCGTGGGGCCCTGTGGTACCTGGCTGACAGAGGCTGAGTTTCCACACCCAGTCTCTGTGCTGAAGAGAGCAATGCCCTGCACCGAGGTTCCGGGCCGGGGAGGAACCCTGCTCTCCCAGGTCTCACTGCTTGAACTTCAAACACCCAAGCAGCCCCGGCACCGTCCCCGTCCCACTTTCCGTTTCTCCCGCTGGGTTGTTACAAAGCACTCAGTTAAACCACAGGCGCTGACAGTACCACCGTTACAGTTTCACTTAAAATTGGCTAATGTATTTCCACATCCTGGGCAGACAGACTAACCCCTTCCCCTCTAGAGAGATCTTTAAAAGTATGTGGAAAACAAGCAACTTTTGAACATAAATAAAGCGTTAAGCCAAGCCGTGCTTCCAAACCATTATCTACTTTGAGAGCACAGTGATGCATCCCAAACTAGTGAAGACCCCGCGCCCGTGAGCTTGTTCTCTTCCCATCTTTGCTTGAAAGACACCTGCCCCTTGCGATTTGTTCACCAAGGATGATGTGACATGTCCTGACGGACGTGCCTTCAACAGAAGTAGGGCTCTCAGTTCAGACTTCGTACTTCTAACCACTTTCATGTGACCAACACCTACCTTTGAGAGTGATGAGAATTTACTGAGTCAACCTGAAGTCGTGGCACCTGCCACGTTCTACTTCCTTCAGAAAAAAGCCCTGGTTCTCTCCCTGTTAGATGTTTCAGACTGCGTTACCACAGGCCTGTCATGTCACCTTCTACTTCAAAACACCTGTTTCCTGCTCATGTCTTGTCATCTTTTGAGCTGGACATGTAAATTAAATGCTTACTGAAGCATCAAGGAGCTAATATTCTTCGTCCAGCCCACTGTAACCAGAAAAGCTATTGCTCTGAGTGCTCAACAATCTACCAAACTGGGTAATGCCTTCCACCTCCTTCTTTGTGGAACAGCCCTGGCCTAGTGCTCTGTGAGGCCCAAGGACCTCTGAGCCACACTCAGAAACAGCAATGGCCTTGCACATGCACTTAAAAAGCACTTCAATGACCACATCAGAAGTTTGAGGCCTTAACAGAGAAGAAAGATCTTGATCTAAACTCTTAACAAAGCAGTTTTCTACCTGAACCTTTTGTTGTAAAAATTTATTTTCACATGTGTGTGCTGACTACCTGCATGTGCCAAGTAGGCCCGGGCCAAGCAGAGGCAGCGTGTCTCCCCAGGGTCCTGCGCCTTGTGTGCAGGCGAGGTCTCATCTGGTGTGTGCAGGACCACTTGGTTCCCCATGAGGGGAGACGGGCTGGAGACACTGGCTGACCCGCTCTCATGCCTTGTTTTTGCCAAGAGGGCTGGGAACTCCCAGTGATTTTGTTGAAAAGCCCATTTTTGCGTGCAGATGCTGGGCTTCAGTCTTTTTTTTTTTCTCAGCACAATTTTTTAGTTATACATGAACATACATATATTCATTGTCACATTTTTTCTTTCGCTGTGAGCTACCACAAGATCTTGTATATGTATTTCCCTGTGCTGTACAGTATTATCTTATTTATCTATTCTACATTTTGAAATCCCAGTCTGTCCCTTCCCACCCCTCGCCCCCTTGACAACCATAAGTTTGTATTCTGTGTCTATGAGTCTGTTTCTGTTTTGTGTTTGTGTTTTTTTGTTCTTTTTTTAGATTCCACATATGAGCAATCTCATATGGTATTTTTCTTTCTCTTTCTGGCTTACTTCACTTAGAACGACATTCTCCAGGAGCATCCATGTTGCTGCAAATGTGGGCTTCAGTCTTTAATAAGCCTTATAAGAAGAATTACACTGAAGCCCTTTTTGAAATACTGATTTTACAGAGTTATAGGTTAGTGGTGGAGAAAGCATCCAAGAAAGAGATTCTAGCATCTTTTCAACTGGTAGACGTTTGCGCCTAATAGTGATAAAAAGATTCCAAACTACTCCGAAAAAGAACAGAAAAAGGGGGTAACTTTCACCTGCATCAGTGGTCGAGTGCTTTCTGTGACTTCTAACGCTGAGCAGGACCGTGAGCCCAGCCTCCTTGTGCTACCAGACCCGGCGGTTTCCATAGCCTGGACAGCACGTCTACCCTCTGTCCTGGGCCCATGAAGAGGCGATTCCACTAGAAAGTTATTCTGAAGTTTACAGAAACCCATTATCATTTCTACATCTTTTATCATAATTAACAGAGACCCAAACTTCTGAGGGTAACAGCAGAGCAGCCAAGCCACTGAGAAGATGACAGAGAGAGACAAATGAAAATGGCCGCGTGAAACGTCAGAACAAGCAGCAGAACACAAGGACGAGGAAGGAGTAAAGGTGTTACACACAAAGAGCCAAGCAGGGCGTACTCAGAAATCGGGTCCTCCTGCCACCAGGTTTGAACGTCACCTGCTCAGACGCACAGTTAAACTTCGCATAGCCTGTGAGAGGGGAAGAACAGGGAAGAACAGAGAGAGGAGACAGAACACGGCTGCGAGACGTCAGAGCCAGGGGCTGCGTGAGACGCTGGGTGGCACACACAGGAACGCGCTTCCAGGGAAGGGCCCGATGCGGGCGGGAGGGGCCGGGCCGCAAGCCCCTCCACCGGCCCAGGGGGGACAAGGCCAGATCGTGCCCCTACCGGCAGGGGCGCTCATCCTGCCAAGAGCCCATCTCCCCCCCTGGGGTCTGTGCACTGTGGCAAAAGCACCAAGTTCATTACCTATGTTTTCTCATACTCGTTTCCACCCAGACACCCAACTCCTTTCAATTCTTGTTCTCATGGGACTAGAAGCTCTCTCCTGTACGGGAATGTTCTAAGGGATCATTAATAAGCCCACATTTAGAAAGCAGATTATGGCTAAAAAGTTGAATTGTAAGGCTATTCATGTTAGTATGTTTCTCTCACACTTAGAAATTTTAAAAGTTTACACTGGCTAACAGACACATTAGCTTTCAGAAACGGCTAAAATGCCTTAGAATTTGGTCCAGGAAATTCGGTCCAGGTATTAAAGCGTAAGTTCCAAATCCAAAGGAGTCATTCCTTTGGTTGATGCCTCACGGAGGCGCAGACATCACTTCATGCTGTAATGCCTGGGAAAAAACCTATTTCCACCTGATGGGAGCAGTGATCCCACCTACTGTAATCGTTACCCATGCCCCGTCCAACCCAAAGAGCCACGAGGGCACCATGTGGCTGTTCCTGGTCAGCTGGTCCTCCAACCCACCTTAACAGGTTCCTCATCAGGCTTCGGTCCCAGATGCGGCACTATCTCCATTCTAGTGTTCTTGGCAGATGACGGCTACTTTGATTTCTTACCTTGGCCTGGAGCAGAAAGGCTTGGTACTGAAATGGCACCATCACTGGTGAAGGCTGAATAGAGGTGATCGCTGGAGGGAGAGGGCTTAAGGGGCTGTAACAGCTGATTCTGCCCGGGCTCTGGGATGTTGCCAGGAGCGGGGAGGGTCTGCTGGGGGTGCACGCCTGAAGCTGCACTCTGACCGGACAGGTTACCTGCCAAAAGATACAGTGGCATGAGGGGACATTCACAGCTTTCACCACACTTTCTAGGCTCTGCTCTTGCTCCTCCAATTTGTCCCACCGAGGAGATCAAAGCGCAAGGGCCTCCCTGACACGAAGGAGGAGTGAGCAAGGGGCTGTGGGACCCCATCCAGAAGAGGTTCAGCATTAGACAACCTGGGGGTTCCGAGGGCTAAGCCAGTAAGGGGACCAGAACATGAGCAGACACAAGGAAGTTCCCCTCTGCAACCTCACGACTGCTTTTTCATGCTGGCTTCAGACAGTCTCTGCTGCTTAGTCTTTCTGGTACATGCGTCAGATCAAGCACAAAAGAGGTATCAAAAAAATGATGTACGGATTACAGAGTAATACATATTTAGAATTATCCTTGGTCCGTGGCTTTCAATCACTAGCCAAGTGTCTTGGAATCAACTAACTTCTCTGTTCCCTAGTAACTGGTGGAACAGACGTCCCCTCAGAAAGTATGTCAAAACTGGGATCAGAATATGAATTAGCTGGTATCTCTTATGATCACATCTACTACTGAACTGGTTCTAATTGCTAGAGAAAAGGTTTAGGTCTGAAAATTTTCAGAGACTGGAAAGCTGTTAAGTTTGCAACTGCTCTGCAACATATTTGTATTACAACTGAAGAGCAAGTATGAGATAAAAACTTATTTCAGCCACTTCTACTTTTCGACTAGTTATCTGGTAATATTACCGTAAGTTCACCAAAGGGTAAAACTCTGTCATAATTAAAAATAGACGAACTATAATTCATTACAAGAGACTATGATTTAACTATTTCTTAACTGTAAACACTAGCAAGTTCTTTATTCCAATATGGATAAATAAAATGAAAACTTTAATCAAGGGAACTGTCACATAAGACACACTCAAATATCTATATGAAACTTAGCAGCCATCACAACTGCCGTTCATCCATAGAAGGAAGAATCGACCTGGGTTTCACTAAACAGAGAACAATGTACTTTCTTCCACCTGCCCAAGAGCTGGGTGAAGTGCGAGTTCTGTGAGTCAGCAGGCAACGCTAAGCATTTCAACCCTCAAGAACAACTATAAGTGAAGGCACCCAGCACCCAGCAGCATGGGTTACAAGGGATGTAACGCCACTGTGCCACCCAGCCTACTTCCAGAGATTCAAAGAGGTTCTGTAAATACGGGGAGTAGACAAGACAAGGAAGTAAGAATATCAGAAAAGCCAAACTCCTCTGAAGCAAAAATAACTGATGTTCAACAGGTTATATAACAGCTGGAGACAGCCATGGCTGACCTGGACCAGGGCTCTTACTCCCCAAGGAGCTGCTGCGACTAGATTTGCTGCCTTTACTTTTGGTGGGCCGCCTTCTTCTCCCCGCCAGGGGGGCAGCGGGGGGGATGATGACGGCAGGGAGAGCCTTGCCCAGTCTGGTGTACAAAGACTCAATTTCATGCTTCTGGCGGCTCTGCAGGTCTTGAATCTCTTTAAGATGTCTACGAGAGATGACCAAACATAGCTCAAAAATTTGATAACCACCTTCATTCAAATAAACATTGACATTATTTAACCTTCCTTCACATATTTACTCACTCACTGAGTCTTTCCCCCAAATACACTTAATCTGATTTCTACCACCGTGAGATTCTAGTTTGTTGACTCCCCTTGCTGGCTGGCCTCCATTACCCAGGTCAAATTCCAACTACCAGAAATGGGTGGTGTGTTAGGAGAAAGAGATTTCCTTACTGAGGATCTACATAGGAATACTGAATTTGAGACTAGAATCCAGCTTGTCGCATATGACCAAGGAAACCTGCTATCACAATCTATATCCCAGTGCCATTACTCATTACTCAGACTCATGCGGTAGAAGACCAGTAAACAGCAAAGACTGGGTTAGTAACAATAAAAAGTGCTGCTGGTCAAAATAACACGGTGACAGTAGTGCAGACGCTGACGCAGTGCTGGGACCCAGGAGCGCTGTGGGCCCCAACGAACACAGGAGACCCCGGAGAACTGCACTCAGGTGACTAGCCCTTGCATGAGTGCCCTCTTGAAAACAAGACTAACCGAGCACAGGGAGCTCGGCTTTACTACAATTCTGCCACCGTTCTTTCACGGGAGAGAACGTGCTTACTTTTCTCGAAGTCTTCGCAGCTCCAACTTTAAGTCTTCATCTTCAATATCTGACTCATTGTCACTGCTCATGTAAGAGGAGTTGAATGAGTTACTAAGGCTTTGACTTAGGTTCTGGATGGGAAGGCTCTTGCTCAGCTGATGGGGGGAGTGTGGACTACCTGAACCATCGTCCACATCCCTACTTAGGAAGGCGGCCTCCAGGTCAGAAGACGGCCCGTTCTGGTGTGACGGTCCTGAGAGTTCAGGCTTTTCTTTCTTTGGTATCACAGCAGGAAGAGCAGCATGTTCCAAATCCATAAAAGGGGGAGATGCCACTGGTCCCTCTTCCTTTGCCTCAGTTATCTTGTCTTCAGTTCTTGAAACCGAGAAACGGCCTACTTTGTTCGCTGTAGTTGTCACCTGAAAACGCCCAACCTTGGTAGGCTGCCCAGCTTCTGACTTTGCTTCTGAGGCGGGAGTTCTGCAGGCACCATCCGGCATATCTGAAGAGGTGCCACGGACAGCTATCCCACTGGGCTCTGGCTTCACCAGGGTGCTCTCGGGACTACTGCTTGACAGCACAGAGGATTCTGAAGTGCTGGACTCAAAATGAACAGACTTTGCATCTTCTGCCTTATTTCTACCTTCTTTCTGGGTGTCATCCACTGCAACTGAAACCTGATGGAAAGAAAACAAAGTGAGATTAAAACGAAACCCCCCAGTTTTAGAATGGACCAAAAACAAAAAGAAATCACTACTTCCCAGTCTGAGTAGGCCGATTATCTGCTCACACTGCCCCTCCCTCTCTGACTGTGAGAATAAACTGAACGCCATCATAGAGCATGACATATCTGTACTGAGATGCACAGATTAGATGTAGATGCTGAGTGCTGGTCAAGCTTAGTGTATGATTTACTTTCGTATCTCACACTGTGCATAGGAATCAGATTCACATCTTGGTGAAAATATAAATAACAGGTCATGGGATCCTGAAGGCTGCTGTGAATAAGAAAAACGACAAACACTAAACCCAACAAATGACACTGCCAGCTGAGCTTCAAGGATCGGCACAGCTGGCACTAACGGGAAGATCCAGGTCCCAGCTCACCCACAAGCCACAAACACAAACTCAGTGTGGTGATGGGCGCTCAGAACCTCAGCTTACAAATGAGAAGACTATCACCCGCTATCTCCAACTTTAAGTGCCACCACAATCATCATCAGAGAGTGGGTGTGAAGGTTGGGGGGGGGGGGGTCAGAGCTTGTGCGGCACTGTGCACTAAGCCAGGAAACGTTCACTTGTTGGTCCACCTGGGAAAACAACTACATGGTATCAGTAGATGCTGACACAGCATCTTCACTTTGTAAATGACTCCTAAGAAAACAACCCTAAATATGGAGAACGTTTTATACACAAAGATGTTTACTGTGACTTTACTTACTACGTTGGAAATGACTGGCAATAGGAGAATGGTGAGGAAAGCCTACTACGAGATGGGAAGAAGCCAAAGTAACATTCAGAGGAGAAACAGGGCCAATTTTAAATACACACACAGAGAAAAAGTAACAGAAGGAATACACCACCAAAGGTGATCCTAGGGGTACAGTGGGAGGATGGCCTACGACAACCTACTGCTTCTCTACTGTTCTAAGTATTCTTTCTTTAATTAGCATGAATTACTTTTTAAACTTTTAAAAACTGAAGTCAGTTTACAATGCTGTGTCAGTTTCTAGTGTACGGCATAATAGATCAGTCATACATATACATACACATATTCCTTTTCGTATCTTTTCATTATGGGTTACTACAAGATACTGAATATAGTTCCCTGTGCTCTACAGTATAAACGTGTTGTTTATCTATTTAGTATGCATTATTTTAAGAGGGGACAATAGTAAAGAGCTATAAAGTTCTCTAAAAGAGATACATCATTGATGGCAATTAAGTCCCAAAAGGCAGATAATAATTTTATTATATATACACTCCCCAAAAGTGGGAATCCCTTTTTATTATGTACACCATCCCCCGGAAGTGACTGTCTTACCTGAAATCGCCCCATCTTAAAAACGCCACCAGGGCCTGAAGTCGGTGCTAAGACAGGACCTTCTGTGACTTGAGGAACTGAAAGAAGTACATGGAGGAGGAAGATAACTTAAGTCAGCATCTCTTTTCAATTAGCTGCTTTTCCTTTTGGCCAGAAACACAGCAAAATGAAACTACATATCAGAAGAGGAAAGCTGTTAGAGGCAAGGCTGCTCAGATTCTGTCCAACAAGGGGTAACAGCTATTGTTTGGTTTCCTACGAGACACCTTCAGTGTGAAAGACTGTACTGCTTGTGAAACATGTAAATGATATAAATGATCGAGTCTGGAAATTTATTGTGAACCCTCTGTACATTCTGTTGGACACGTGTGCAGATGACATGGCATTGTTTGAAGGGAAAAAAGCTACATAGCAGCAAAACGGCTTCATGGCTTAATCCAGTGTGAAGAGACACTATAAAAACTGAGGCTAACAGAAAATTACACTACAGTTTCAACCTGCAACTCAAAGATACAAATAAACGAAGCAAACCATGAGATTATACTTAGGATACTAAAGACCTATTTTAAAAAGAAAACCAGCGATGGCAAATTGGTTTAGGCAACACTTAAGCAAAATCCTGGAACAGGACAGTGTAAATGGCAGAATCACTGATAAGCAATTCTGAGTGACTTTAAAGCCACCAAGGTCCTCCTAGTGACAATCACTTGTTGGGGTTTCTTTCTGGAGATAACGGAATATACACCACCATTTCCTTTATTTTATACAGCTGGCAGAATACTGACTTTGGTGTTCTCATTTAACGATGTAACTTAGAGATCTTCCCACGTAAGTGCCTCATTCTGTTTAATGGCTGCATTATGCGAATGTATGAAGTTTTGAAGCGTACCACGTTTTATCCAGGCTTCTACTGAAGGACATTAAAGTTACTCAGAACTTCTTGCTATCATAAAAGTGCTCTAATATGTATTTTCTTATAGGTATGTAGAATAAATACCTGAGAATGGAAGGACTGAATCATTTCCATTTATAACCGACAGACTTAAACTGATCTCCAAAAAGGCTGAACCAAGTCACCAGCGGCTGTTACACGTCTGAACTTATTAACAAGGACAGGTGAGAAGTAGGATCACTTTTAGTTTTACTCTACATTTCTGTTTCACAAAGGAAATTAAGTATTTTCATGTCCAATTTTCTTTTTTTCTGTATCTTTTGATTACTTTTTGGCTCATGCCAAATTTACAGGAACACTCTATATTAGCAAAACTAGTCCTTTTTATGATATGAGCACACAACACACACATTTCCCAGCTTTTCACTTATCTTTGGACCTAACAGCACTTTTTTTCCCCATGCAGAAATTTAAAATCTGTTAATGCTTCCGTGTTAGGTATTAAACGTAACAGTAACATCTTTCTCTACGTTAAGGATCAGCAGTCTCTGAACTGTGGACCAAATTTAGCCCACTGCCTGTTTTCATATGTAAACTTTACTGGACAGTCAAACTCGCTCATTCATGCATGTCTATTGCTTCTTCTGAGCTACAATATGTTGGATAGTTGAAGAGCAAAACCTAACATACTTCCTTTTCAGCCTTTTATAGAACAAGTTTGTCAACCGTGCTCTAGACAGTTGGAAGAAAAAAAGAAAAAGAAAAAGAAAAAGAAAAAGAAAAAGAAAGAAAAAGAAAAAGAAAAAGAAAAAGAAAAAGAAAAAGAAAAAGAAAAAGAAAAAGAAAAAGAAAAAGAAAAAGAAAAAGAAAAGAAAAAGAAAAAGAAAAAGAAAAAGAAAAAGAAAAAGAAAGAAAAAGAAAAAGAAAAAGAAAAAGAAAAAGAAAAAGAAAAAGAAAAAGAAAAAGAAAAAGAAAAAGAAAAAGAAAAAGAAAAAGACTCCTTTTGTTTTCTTATAGTACTATTTTATGACATCATTTTTCACCTTTGATCCATTTGGAATTTATTTTGGCCTCGGCTAGCGATCGATCTTTGCTTTTTTCCAAGCCACTGTCCAGTTGTCCCAAACCATTTACTGAAACATTCCATCTTTTCTCACTGATTTGAAAGGCTACCTTCTCATATTCTACATTCCACTTTAGTTTCTACACTTTCTAGTCTGTTCCACTGATTTTCAAGGCACTTCCTTTAAAAAGAGAGCCAATTCAGACTCTGCTTGCCTTGAAAATAACTTAATTTAGAGAGGTTTTAAGTGTAAGCATGTAAGGAAGGCAGGAAGAGGTAAAAGTGTTCAGCTAATCTTAGTAACAGTTATACAGTGAATTACCCTTATGTCAGGGGGTGTTGAGGAGAATGGATATTATAAAAAGGAAAAATTAATTTTAAGCACGTGCTATATAAAATCACACTGAGTAAATATAGCTCACGTTCAATTATTTTGACTTTTGATTATGAACAATTCTTTAGGCAAAGGCAACAGAAAATAAATTTTAAACTTCCCAGGTTCTGTGGGACTGAGGGTGAGAAGAGATTGACAACAAAACTTTACAACAGTAGCAGTCAACATAAACTTATGACTGAGTATGTGGGGATAAAAGTTCTAATTAAACATTTAAATTGTTGGTCTGGATAATTTTCACAAAATTAAGTCAGAAATGTGCCTTTCTAAAGAGATTATATTTGTAAACATCCCAATTCTAAAGACTCCAGAAATAAAAATAATTAAAAAAATAAATGTTTAAATTGATTAATTGAAATCTTACATTTGTATTTCTACCATCCATGTTATTGAAGCTTATCTATATCTTTGTATTTCTAAAAAGCCAAAAGGTTGCCAATAAATTAACTTTCATAAATATGCCTGAACGTCCTTCTCTCTCTGAGCAAGGATCTGGCCTAGCTAGTAACAAAGGGCCTCACGTTAAGAGAAACTATTATTACCCCCTGGCACGCCACCCTTCAAAACACAAGAGTAGAAGATACACTGATTTGCTAAAATTGTCTGCTCTAGATACTGGTATTAATGCTCCTCAACCATGAAATACATTAAAACATTCTTTAAAATCGTCTCGCATACGCCTGCCAGCTCACGAGGCTGCGCCTCTGCAGCAGCAGCCTCTACAGTCAGTTACGGGCAGGAATGGAGGCGGCGACGCGGGGAGGGGCGGGTCTCACCGTCCTTCCGAGGCTGCGCTCCTGCTTCCACAGCTGCTGTGGGGGCCGCCACGGACGCCGGCTGCAAACACACACACAAACACAGCACCTTCAGCTGCAGGTGCGCTCAGACCCTCCCGGGCTGCCCTCCCTCGGGTCTTCATAAAGGGCAGAGAGACAGACAGCATGTGCGGAGAAGCACTGACGTCCGAGGGAATTTCCTGTCTCTTTTTTTATGGCCTAAAAGTAAGTCTCATGTAAAGAGAAGTATTTTAAAAGAAATCTTGAGTCTTAACCCTTCTAATTGCTTTCTTAACTTTTCTCATGGGTGCTTAACAGCGTAACCTGGGTATGTATAGAAAAGTAGTTTTAATAGAACATTACTGTGTCACAAGCCTAAAAGGAATGAGTTAAAACTTCACACTTTAAGTATAGCCTCCTCCAAATGCACAGGATTGATCTGCAGTATAATTCTACCCACAGGCAGGACAAAAAAGCATCTTTCAAATCAGACTTTTTCCATAGTTACACTGCGGGGTCAGTGTTCGTCTTTCATTAATCTCACTTCTGTTGACTAGAACAAGCGAAGACACTGAATAGGTGTTACAGGTATATTAAGAATGGTCTAGGTTACAGTCATATTCCAGGAATACAATACATTAGGGTTACTGGAAGATTTTAACAAGGGTTTCAAAACTTACACCAACTGCAGACGTCAGCACGACAGTCTCTGGACTAAGCGTTCTCCTCAGCTGAGCATCGAGATCCTCCAGGGGCTGCTGGGACGGACCACATGGCACAGTAAGCACTCCGGCACCGGCGGAGCCGGTTTACACAGAACACACTTCAGCTTCGTGCTTCAGATCGACACAACATCACATCTGCCCACTGAATATGAAACTCGATGACCTAAGTTAAACTTAGCTATATTCCTTGATTTACCAACCTCTTAAAATTTTATTGTCAAGTTCTTAAGCCACAGAGAAACTCAGTTACATCTAAGGTTTTACAGTTTTGAACCCTTCCTTATTACTTTCTATGTGTGATGTTACTTAAAGTGATAGGAAAGTTATCTATTTGTCCTCTCCTTAAAAATACGTTCTAAAAAAATGTCATCATGATGTGGGGGAGACTATATTGTTCCCTATTTTCTTTTTTGGCTTGGTGCCTCTGAGAGCCTGTCCTTAAGAATAGAAAAAGGACCTATTCTGCCACTGCGGTCAGGCTCTTCCTCCACATCAGCACCACCCTTCATCCTCATCCCCTACGTCCCATCTGCGGTTTCTCATCACACTTTGGGCCCTCTTAGGATCTGAAATACATGTTTTTAGTGCGAAAATAAGTCCAAAACTCGCAATTTATAGACTTTCACAATGCAATTGTTTTCAAAATTTAGCAGCTGATGGAGGAGATTCTCTGTTGGAGTTATTACTTTATTACGGCAAGTTCCTTTAATTATGTTTTACTGTTAAAGAAGCAGGGATAAATTCACACTTCAAGTTAGCAATTTGCCATATTTTTCTATATCTTATTCTAAAATAAATTCCTCATTTAGTTTCAGTGTTACTAGCTTGTCTCACATCAGAAGCTTTCTCATGGTTACGATGGATTCCTAACAAGTACTTACGGGAATTCAACACGTGTTGGGTGGAGGGTAGGGCGGTAAAGAAAATCATAGTCTAACTGCGGGCAATTCCGACTCCTAGTGAGCAGGACTGAAAGTGAGACAGCAGTCTCACGTCCACGTCACTGGCCTCAGTTCCTCTTTGAGTCATCTCATGTTAGCTGAGCTGTGTGGCTTTTGTATTGAAAGATATAATACTTGTTTTTCAAAAACATGACCCTTATTATACCCAATTACTTCATTAGGTGGTCACTGAAAGAAATGTCAAACATTCAAGAAAAAAACAGGCTGTGCTGAACCCACAGAAAAAGGGCATTGCCAGTTATCAGGGAGGTACCCTTCCCCAAGGAACTTACAAAGTTAACTTTGATCACATGTAATTTTTTTTTTTACTTCCACAATGGTCTAATCTTTCACTGTTCTACAAAAGTATGAATGATAGAAGGAATTTTTCTGGCAAAATGTCAAGTCTGCTGTTTTCTTTTTTCGTAAGTTACAAAAAGTATTAATATCAAATGATCTCTATATGATATGATTCTCACTCTAAGTAGGGCCTGTATCATCAGCTATGGTGTTTTAAAAGAAAGTTCTTACTAAGTCAAAACCAAATAGGAGCCAGAAGGCAAGATCATGCAATGGAGAATTTAAACAAGCTTTGTGAAAGAAAGTAGGGGCACAAAATCTGCCAAGTCTTGGGGCACCTGAGTTAGTGAAGGTCCCGGAAAAGGCGGCAGCTGCTCGCTGGGTGGAGTACCAGCTGGAAGTTCAGTACCCACTGGCAGCACCTACAGACAGCGAAGGGAAATTCAAGTCCATGAGACACTAAGAGTAAAGACTGCATACTGGAGAGCAAACCAACTAATTCAAACGCAGAAGGATAAGAATAAAATATATCTAGTTAAGGTAAGCTTGTCACCTGAGTTATGCTCTGGTATCCATCTTACCTGAAGGGCATTATAACCATGATCCTATTACAGGGGTTACTATGACATGCCAATAAAATGGACAGGAATCTTTAGTAAAAGGTTACTCCGCAAGGAAAATACAGAAAAGAAAGGCTGCGTGGACACGTCAGGCGGTCTAGATACGCCTGAGCCACTCATCTGCTACTGTATTATCAGGCTTTTCTGAGAAACAAAATAGTTCAGAAATAACCGTGGGGGCAGGTCTGACAACAAAAGGCACCAGAAATCTACTATCGAGCAGTCTGTATTCTGAGTGAAGCCTCTGCGTCACCCCCTACCCGCCCCGTGAGAGGAATCCTGCATCGATGGCAACGCGGACAGACAGGGCAGGCACCCAGCGCAGAAGGAGAGACACGCCTGGTTACGCGGAGGGGCAGAGACCGGCGGGCAGAGTGAGAGGAAGCCACCGCAGCAGAACCAGGAAACTCGTGCCGCTCATTTTATTCCTAGATTCTTTTCTCCTCTGTGTATCATATTCATCACCAACTTCCAACTTTTTACAAACCCCAAACTGTATGTGTATGGAATCTAAGTGAAGCAGACAATTTGCTTCATTCTCACGCAAACAGACTGTGAACTGCTGTTACTGTGTGTAACTGCCAGCAAAAACACTTAGCTCCCCTTTGGGATGGATTTCTTCAGTCTGTACCAATCTGGTACAATGCCTGTACTTTAACTACTTATTAAATACTCCTAGAAAATTGTGCAGTATAATTAACCCCAAAATCTTGCCACATTTCAAAAGAAAAAAAATCTCATGGTTCAATGTACATATATCTTAAAATCACCTTCAATCAATTTATTTACTAAATACCACGTGTCTACTATAAGCCAGGCATCTTTATAACTACATTTCTAATCTGCAAGGCTGAATTTTTAAAAATGTACTTATTGAGAGGAAAAAAGAGTGATGATATTTTTCAAATTATTTCAGAACAAGAATCTTACTGGAGGTTTAGTTAACGGTGGCTTCACTGGAGCGGTTCCAGGTTTCACTCCTGGTGCAGTGCTGACTGGGGCGGAAACCTGCCCAGGTGTGACTCCTGCTGGACCCGACAAACCAGCTGGTCCTAGCGGCAAACTGGCTGGTGGCAGGCAAGTGCTCGTAGTGGAAGTCATGAGTCTGCCTGGTGCGACGGCAGTGGTCGGGACGCCTGGAGGGACAGTGGTCTCCACCACCAGTGACGTCTCCAGGGAGACGGGGGCGTGCTGAGCTCCAGAGGAGCTGTGCTCACTGAAGAGAGACCGCAGCTTCTCCTCTAAAGTCTTTATGTCATCGATCCCCGGAGCTTTGGGTTGTGTATCAGTGTCTACTTCAGGACAGTGAGCATGGGGCTGGCTGGGGAGCAAAGCTGGCTGGGGCTGGCCATGAATTAGTGTCTGCTGTACGGCAGGCACACTGGCCACAGGCTGTACCAAGGGTGGGATGCCAGGTACTTGGGGTAACAGAGGTGTAGAAGCAGGTCCTGCTTGGGAAGGGACAGGAGCAGAAGCTACAGCTGAGGTGACGGCTGAAGGATGAGCCGCACCAGGCTGAGAAACAGAACTAGATACCCCTGCCCCAGGGGAGGGAGAGGAAGATGAGGCCGGGAGGGACGAAGCCAAGCCTGCCGCACTGCCGTGAGACGTCTTATCTAGGGCGTGTGCACTGACCACCACCGTCTCGGCCAGGGCAGGAGCCGAGGCGCTGCTGCTGAGCGGGACAGACGGCTGTGAAGCCGTGCTCGGGGCCGGAGTGGTGGCAGAAACTGACGCTGACGTGGCTACCCCGGCAGTGCTAACTCCTGCCTGCTGAGATGGCCCGGGTGCAGGCTTAGTACCCAAGGCAGCAGCGCTGCTCCCTGCCGAGGCAGGAGTCACTGAAATGGGCACAGAGGGGGACGCATCCACACTAGAAGCGGCGCCCCCAGGGGCAGGAGCCTGAACTGACTTGGAAGCTGCTGACGCTGAGACAGCGGTGGGCGCCGTGATGCCTGAAACCACGCTGGAGAGCATCGGGGATTCAGATGCATCTAGACCGCTTGATGGTGTCACACCTGTACAGGTGGCAACCCCAGCAGTCCCTTTTTCAGGGGCCACTGTAATCTCAGACTGCATTACTGATGTGGAGATGTCAGTAAGAGGGCAGCTAGCTGCAGGGGCTGATACTGAAGGTGTGGCCGCTACTGTGGTTGCGGCTCCAGCAATGCTACTTGTGGAGGGAGGCACAACTGGAAATGTTGGTCCTGTATGACCAAAGTTGGGAGGTGCTGTGCTGGGCCCTTCTGTCATTTGGGCATATCTAAGTTCAGAAAAGGCCTGCTGTAGACTCAGGGATGAAGCAGAGTGAGACAAGTTCATTCCGGAGCCAGGAGATGTAGAAGCAGCAGCAACTGCAAAGGAAAATAAAAAATTCAAAATCAGTCCATTTTTAAAGAGTGAATTCAAAAGACTGTCTTAATAATCTGTTTTTGGAGTTAACCAACAATGCCACATACCAACAAGGTACAAAGCCTCTCCCAAGGAAATGACAGGCTTTAAACGAGCAAAGTGAAATAACTACTACTTCGATCAGAAGTTGTCAGTATGAATGTCTGCTTCTCGAAAGAACATGGAGTGCGCTCAAACCGTACACGGCAGTAGCTAATCCCATGGGCTGTACCTAGCACAGCCACCCTTTGTGCTCTTCTTCTCCTCTCCACCGTCTGTCTCCCTTCTCCATACGTTCGTCTGTTGGGTGTAGCCTCAATTTGCTACCCTTCCTCACTGTCTTGTGTCATCATTTGAACCGCGGTTTGATGACCAAGCTTCTGCTTGTAGGAGAGATGCTGCAGGACTTACACACACATGTGGTAGAAGTAATTCCTTACCTGTATCTGATATTTCACCAGCAAAAAGCTTTGACTCTCGTAATCGACTTTCCGGCACTGGACTGACTATAAACCGTCTTCCAGCAGAATGAACAACTTGAGTTAAAGAACTGGGAGGAATGCCTGGTTAAAAAGAAACAAACCACTTAATCACATTTTTACGTACACTGTCACTAACATGAAGCTTTGAGATTTTATTATTAACACACAGCTTCTCAGGTAAGAGCAAATGATGGAAAGAAAAGAAATTCACCTATTTGCTGTGGCATGGAAGACACAGGAGCTGGTTGTTTGAACTCTCCTTCCAATTTCTACAACAAACAAAAGTGATTAAATTCATTCTCAAATTCAGTGATTAGGCAAAGCAAATTGCCACATGCAAAGAGAACATGAGTGCTGACAGCCTTAGTTACAGGTGTAACATGGTACCACTGGATCTGAAACAAACAAAGCTTCACTACGGGATGGTGAGCCTACCTGAGACCCTGAAAAGCCATAGTCATCCTTTCCCTGCAGACGCTCCAACCCCTGGTCACCCTCTGGCTCCACACTGACATCCTCACTGAGCATCTCATCGGCTTTTTCAATAATTTCCCGCACCTGATCCACAAATGACTCTCTTTCTGTTGCCAGAATAAAGTCATTGTTCACCTGTAAAAGAAATGCGACATCAGCCTGATTCGTACAGTGTTCCTCAAGTCTTAGGTCATTCAATCCCCATTTTCATTCTTCTGCCCAGTCTGCATTCCATCTGTATTATTTATTTGATATGTAAGTTAGTTCTTTAATACCTAGATAGGCCCCAGACAAAAATATTTCTAAATCACCAGCTTGGTCTGCTAGTTATACTCACACTGAAACTGAAATAAATAGGTAACTGTCAAAACAGTTTACAAAATATTGCCTATTTGCCTAGGGTGGTGGATATGAAGATCAAGGACTAAGGAAAAATCTGGGACTCTAAACTCAGACATACCATAATTGTTGCTATCTCCTCAGGGTTGTCACCATCTAAGTCAAATTTGAATGTAACCATTTTCCGGTTGTGAGTCTCCAGTTGACATTCTACTACCCGGTCTCCTTTATTTGAAACCTAAAAAGAAAAAAGAAAAGTATTTCTAATCTCAGAAGACCATACTCAGCACTGTTACTGGATGTGAGAAAGTGATGTAGGTTATCACTTGAACTTCAGCGTAACGTTACCACTAGTCCTTGAAACACTGGTACTTTGCCTCTTAAACTGGTAGCAGGAAAACCTTAAGAAAGTATCAGGCTTTGAGCTACGTACTTATCTTCCACGAGGAGTTTGGAAGAAATGTAAAGCCTCTGTTGTGCAAATTAAACTCTCTACTGCCTTCTTACAGAAATACGGAATTCAACAGTATCATTTGGGTGATTAGAAGAGCCTAAACTTTCATCAATACACTCTAGCCTTAGAAATACTTAAATAATAAACTAACTATATAAAACCCAGAAGTCAGCAATACTTACATTCAAAATTCTCAATTTGGGGCGTGAAGTCTTTTCATGGCGAGAACGACTTCTCACAGATTTCCTGCAATGCCGCTTCGTGGTTCTCCCTTCATGCCTTCCGCTGGACGATGCGACAGTCTCATTGCCGTCACTCATTCCTGAAGCCACATCTGAATGTGCACTTTGGGGGGAAAAAGTTCAATTTACAATAGGAGATTTAAAGGTTTCACAGACTCAAGTTTCATGCCATCCTATCGACCCATCAAGACAGAAGTTGACTTTACACACCTGTCTATAGAAGAGACCAAGGCGGCAGGGTGGGCGGGCTGTGGCTGTGCCGCTGGAGCTGGCTCTGGAGGAGCGACCTGAGGGACTCCTCGAGTACTCTGTGAACAGAAAGGATAATTCAAACCTTGGCAGTCATATATTTTACTTATTACCGGCCATCCTCAATAAGCTACTCTTTTTTTTTCTTATCCCTCCCCTAAGTCCTAGAAGCACTACATTTACTAGAAATTCTTAATATTCAGCATCTACAGAAAGTCCTCTTACAATTGCAAAGGGAGATTCTAAAGCTAGTCTCTGGTACAGGCTACATGGTATGTCATCAGCCACAGCTGTCGCTAGGTGGTGAGAAACTACAACCTGCCATGCAGCCAGCATCTCACCAGAACGTGCAGCAGGGCAGGCAGAGCAAAGTGCAGAGGCGGCTCAGCGCTCTCTGAGTGGGGCAAGAGCGATCACTGGGCGCACAGCAGGGTAAGGTGTTCTGGGAACCACCATGGCAAGAATTTGTGAAAGGACAAGAAAAACGGCTGAAGGGCTAGCTAGAGAAGTGAAGTGCTAACAGGATTAATCTTCTCCAAGGCACACTCACTTCCCAACAGAACAGCCAGTGGCAACAAGGCCCCCACACTGGCATTTCATTCTGCTGTAAGAAAAAGTCATTCAGAAGTTAGTTTAAAATAGTTTCCAAACGAACTCTAAACCAGGGGAACCTATGTTTCTCCTTTGTCACTTTTATCCCATTACACATATGTCTTAGCTATAAACATGCAGAAATTCCATTTACCTCCAGAGCTGCTTGCTGGGAGGATGTAGAGGGGGCTTGTGCTAAGCTCACTGCTGGCTGGGGCACTTGAACCTGTCCTCCTATACTGCCCACGGAAACCAAAAGATTTGATTCCACATAAGGCTGCACCACTGTAGGAAAGTAACCTGGGGCAGCCAGTGCTTCTGTCGGCAAGGGAGGGGACAGGACTGTAGAAGGGAGGCAAACAGAAGCCACGCTGGAAGAGGGAGCAATATTTGAATCTCCTGGGTACTGTGGTGGCAGTCGAGGTGGGAAGCCCTGTGACAGAAATGAGGAAGGGGAGTTAGTGTAGGCTGGGTCATCAAATGAGCAAAACAGCAGGACATGCACAGGAAAGCACGTAGCGAAGATGAACAGCACCCCAATCCCTCTCTAATAATTTAAAGAAGATTCTTCCTCGAAATTAAATGACAGACTGATTTCATTTAGGGGACAGGGCTGTATAGAAGTGTATTTTAAATTGCTATTTTCCCCTCTCCTGGAGACTATTTAAATAGGAGGAAGACACAGAATTCCTTCTAGAAAAATAGCTACTTTCTAGTCAGTCAAACAGGAGAATGCAAAACCTCTGAGGTATCCGTCATTCCAGTCAGGTAATGGCATGCTAACACTCTAAATCTAAACCCTGAAGTTTTTTAAGGATCCCATGTTGGCCACCGTATTTACTCTTCCTATAAAAACGTAGCCTGATATATTCTATTATTAGCTATATCTAGCATTCAATCAGCTTACACCGAGTATTGAGAGAACCACTTTCCCCAAAGAGGTGTCTTGGGAAAAATGGAAATGAACTGTCAGACATTACCCCCCATCCTTTCTCAGGAGTTTACTATTTTAGCGTCTATGGTTGAGATCAGGAACTCTGGTTACTGCTAGTTATTCCGATATTCCAGTATCAGGTTCTGAAGTCCTTGATGTTGTCATTACAGCCAAACCCTCTGGCGCCCTCCTTTTTGCCAGTCAACACAGTACCTGGTAGAGAGCATCTCCAGAGGGAAGTGGAGCCTCAGCAGTCTGTCCAAGGCTAGCGGGTATCCCTGTGGACTGGACTGCTGGCTGCAGGAGCTGTGGGTGAGCCTGACCCGGCAGCTGGGTCGCAGGCTGCAGGAGGGCTGGAAGCTGGCTAGGAAGCACAGCGGGTGCCCCTGGGCCTGCAGCTGCTGCAGCAGGTGAAGCCAAGGTGAGCAGAGGCTGGGCAAGGCCAGCTGCCATTGTGGCGGGAAGGGGTGAGAAACCCGGCTGAGCTGCAGAGGCGGGAGGCGCCGAGGAGATATGAGAGACAGGGAACTGAGGGAGTAAGGAAGGCGGGAGTGGCTGTCCCACAGGGAGGAAATGAGCACCAGAATGGACTGGAACAACTGAGGGCTGTGTCGCCACTGGGATCTGAGGTTCGCCTTGGATAGTTGGTACTGGCTGGGAAACTGGAAGCTGGGAAGGGAAAGAAAAACAAAACAGACCAACTTAAAGAAAAAAAAAAAGAGCAAGGCTGCCAAAAGCAAGATGTATGTATTAGCCAAAAAAGAGAGAAAATTATAACAAACACCAAATCCCTGCATACATTAGTATGAGTTAATATGCCACATAGGAGCAGGGAGAGGTGCGCAGGAGACAAGGAGGCTGACAGAGCGGCCACTGTGCCCAGTCTGCTGTGACGAACTCCACTAATGTTTTATTGTTCAACAGCACAGAGACCCCTTCCACACGGAAGGCTGTTTTCTTTACAGCTTGACCGAGATGTGTCTCACGGACCATAGTCCCCTGGCACGTCTGCTGTCCCTAACCTATGGCTGCATCACCGCAGTCACTGAAGTTCAAAGGACTTCCTTTCCCAGCGGGGTCAGAGCTCATCCCTCCTGCTTCTACAATTCTCAAGTCTAACACAGACCTGTAAAAGGACGTATAGTTACCATCTTCCACTGGTTCTAGGAAGCAAGCACCCCTTCTCACCACGGGTAATTTTAACATTTATGAAGTTGAGATGTATCTTACAATTAATGATGTGTCAGTTCTCAGTGTTAAACATACCTTACAACTGACAGTCTCTCAGATGTGATGAAACATGGCAGACCACGCACTGAGCCACAACACAAGCACAAGCCCGATGTAAAGTTGAAAACAGCTCATTCGGAAGAGCCTATCTTCTACAGGGACACTTTTTTTTTTTAAGGGATTAGGACAAACAACTTAGGAAAAACCCAAGCCGTATAAAGGGTTTTGTGACTTGCTGTCAGTAGGCAGAGGAAGGAGACAATGCATAAATCTACAAGAAAACACAGCGTGACTGCAAACCGAGAATACTAGGTGTAACTGACAACTCTAGACAACGTCCAGATTCAGCTACTAAAGCACCTTTATTAGGTCTGCACCTGTCAAACTAAGCGTTGGCTGATGCACCTAAAAGGTAAACATGTGGGATTATCACTGCTGCATGTAACCATTACATCAACCAATGCATAAGCACAAGAGGTAATTTTCACTTCATTTTTACAGTGAAATTAGCCAACTTCCATACTCCACCACTAGAGAAGGCAGAGGCCCCTCCACACAGCCACGCGGCACTCCCCTCCAAGAACTAAGCACGCACCTGTTTCCCCACTGACACGTGAGGCAACACCTGCAGGGGTGGAGGCTGGCTTGCTGGCTGTGCAGTCAGGGCCTCACTGGAGGCCGGTGCCTGTGGAAGGGAATACTGCACCGTCGGCTGAGAGGAGGCTGTCTGCTGGACTCCCTGCTGCTGAGAAGAAAATTCAATTTTATTTCAAGTCATTAACAGCATGTTTCTGAAGTATGCTTTAATTAGTCTGCTTAAAGAATAGCTCTGATAATAGCTACAAAATGTGAGGAAAGCACTGAACTGGGAACTTCAGCTTTACCCCTTACCAGCTGTGACACCTGAGAGGTGGCCCATCTTACTGCCAGAGCGAGGCTTCCTTCTTTGAAAACAAGGACACTACCACTCAAAGTAGGGCAAACGGAATCAACTATGTGCTAGACACCCTGGTATAACACACCTAAATTTAATGCATGGCACGTAACTGTACCCAAACAATAAATTATTAATAAATTAACGGCCCCCTCTAGCCTAACAAAAACCTGAACTTCATAGCTGACTTTCAGGACTCTCCAACACCTATAACTAGTTTAAATTTTAAATTTTTAAATAAAAGGCAATACCTGTTTGTAATAAAAACTTTAACCAATATATCAGATTAAGAGTCAAATGAAAATACCCAACCTCATTTCCTCAGAGGCAACCAGTTAGTGGTTTTGTGCGTCAACTTTATGGATTTTTTTCTATGCATAAGTGGTCACTCACACACAAGTACACCTGTCTTTGTTTTTAAAAGTAAAGCAAAAACACGCCTATTTTATAAATACTATTCTCTGACATGCCATTTTTATTTCATTATCAATGGAACCAATATCCTAATGATGAATACTTGAGTTTGATTTTTTTGTTACTTAAAATAACGCTATAGCCAATAGCCTTTTACACATGTCCTGGTCCATACCACTAACTGGTTACAGCTTGTATGAAGAGAAGCTGTGTGTGTGTGTGCACTGAAATGTAACTGACGTGTAGCATGATTTGACATATGTACATAGTGCAAAATGATCACCACACATAATTACAAATGTAGAAATACAGAAACCCCTCCTCCATTCAAATTCTTTACATGTAATACACCAGCGCTGTTACCTTCACTGGACCTATACTATGAATGATCCTGTTTTTCTGGAGCATAACTTTCCCTTTCAGTTGTGTCTTGAGGTAAAACCTACAGTGACAAGCTTCTGTTTGAATACATTAGAATAGTTGAATTTTTTTTCAATTGTCCTATAGGTGTATATTCATGTAATCTTTAAGTGGATTTTATGATTTTAATTTTTAAGTAGCAGCTTTATTGAGATGTAACTGACAAACAACTGCACACGTTTAGATCATACACTGTGGCAAGTTTTAGCGCGCACGTACACCGTGGAACTATCACCACAGTCAAGACAGTGCACACGGCCATCACCCTCAGGAACTTCCTCTGGTCTCTTTGTGATCTCTCAGTTCTACTTCTTCCCACCCCAGATCTTATCCTCTAGCAACCAACGGTCTGTTTGCTGTCACTGTAGATTAGTTTACATTTTCTAGAACCTTGTATTAACAGAAGCATACAGTATACAGTCTTTTCTGCTTAGACTACTTTCATTCATCATACTTGGAGATTCATCATATTGTTGCATCAACAGTTAATTCATTTTCATTGCTGAGAAATATTCCATTGTTTGGATATACCATAAGTTGCTTATCCATTCATCTGTTGGTAAATATTTAACTCATTTACAGTTCTGGCAACTAAAAATGAAGCTATGTTTTGAGTTTTTATATGGACATGCTTTCATTCCTCTTGGGTAAAAAAACATCTGCAAGTGGAATGGCTGTGTCCGGTGGTAGGTGTATAACTTGCATTTTAAGAAACTACTGAACTGTTTTCCAAAGTGACTGTATCATCCCACATTTTCACCGGCAGTGGATGAGAGCTCCAACTGCTCCACATCTTCGCCAACACTTAAGTTAGGTCAGGCTTTCTGACTTCAGGCGTTGTAATGAGTGGGTAAAGGTGATAGCTGATGATATCGAACACCTTTTCATGTGGTAATTTGCCATGTGTGTATCTTCTTTGGTGATTTAAGTGATCTTTAAAAAAGTTATTTACAATGACATACAGAACCTGGAATGGTGAAGCTGTCCCTCTAAGAATAAGGACCAAATCTATGTTCAATGTCCTGGCTTTTATTTTAAGACCAATTCTGTCAAATGTTGTCTATAAATGTTTCCAACTACATACACCATTTAAGGTCCTTACAGACACTTTCATTCTCAACAGTTTTACTTTACTCCATTAAACTTTTTTTGGTTATTGTTCAAAATAAGGGGCAGTGAGTAACATGTAATGTGGAAGTATGATAAAGGTTTGACTGCACGGTGACTTCCCTCTTTATTAAGGGGTAAATCTGAGGAAAGCCCACCTCATATCTGGGCACGCGGCTCCCTCCGTCGCCCGTCAACGCGGAGCCTTGCTCACATCCAGACTCAGTGTCTCCTGGAACCCACCCCTTCACTCACCTGTACTCCAGCTCAGCGGAACCCAGGCTGGATTGTTTGTGTCTCCCCTTCTACCTTGCTTACACGGCCCCCTCCCCAACTTTTCTTTGGGCCTAAAGCATTCTTTATTTATCCGAATTTAACTCAAATGCAGAGCCCAGTTCAAATGCTCCTTCATAAAGCCTACCTGACAGCCCGCCCCCTGCTCAGATGTAATCTCTCTCCTCTCACGACATAATCGGTCAACAGTTAAATGGTAAGTTACACAGTCAGACTACTTGGATTTAACTTCTGTCTCTCATTCAGCTGTGTAAGTTTGGGTAGAATAACTAGCTTCTCCAGATCTCACCTCAGCTCTCCCATCCGTACGACAGAAAGAATGATAGTACCTGTGCTTACAGGGTTTATATAAGCATAAAATAAAAATGTAAGTAGAATGCTTTGCACTTTGTATATGTTAGCTGTTACACTCACTTGTTTTGTAGGAACTGCCCACACGTCTACCAGGTGACTTGGGCTCCCTGAGAGGAGCCATGCACGATCCACTGCGGCAGCCCCTCAGTGCCTAGCCCATGGCCCTTCAGAGCATGAACTCAGTTAGAAAAAAAACTGTTTAATTACTTAGTTGGCGTGTATGTGGACTGTCAAAAATGAGCAGTCTGAGAGACATATACCATTACTCTTTGCTTAAAATAATGAGAGGCTGTTATCGCCAGCGACACCACAGAGCGCCCGGGGAGAAGAGGCACTGCTAGGTAGGCCAAGAGTACGTGCTTTCCTTTTTTTTAGCACAATCACACTGGCTAATAATCAACACTTTAGGCAAACCAGTACTGTTTAGCACAGCAGCTCAGCATCACGCTTCGCCTCCACCTGCCTCACGAAACCAGTTCAAACAGCCTACACTGACCGTGTGCTCTCTGGCGGACACAGGTGCTTGATGAAAGAAATGTTCACGAGCCTCAGGTGAACAGAAAGTATGAGAGAACCTGAAGACTCTACACGGACCCTATGGATGAAATTAAGTGGGTAGGGCAGCTCACGACCTTGCGTGTGGCAGCAAAATACCAAGTCTTCCAGTAGAAGAAAGCTATTTTTGTCACCTCTTTAAGACAAAGCAAACCACTGGAAGAGACTCTTGATAAAAACATGAAAGAAAGCAATCTTGTATTCATCACATTCCAGAAACACACGAGGTAAATTTTGATTAAAGTTCATTTCTTTCCTTACATTAATAAAACTAGAGATAGGTTTCCTGAGGTGGGGCTGCCACCTGCAGTATGTAAAACAAAAATCACATTTAAAAATAGACAGACTCTAACCACATACTACAGAAAGTTTATAACCTGTCTTTTCTATATATGGAACCCCAGAAGATAGAGCAAATAAAGCTTCTTGGGCACCTCTGCAGAATCATAAGTCCCTGTCGAACTTTAATATAGAAAAAAAGAACACTATTCTAGAAATTTTGGATTTTGATTTGTAATTTTTAATTCTATCCACTTACTGGCTATGTGACTAGGGGAAAATCAAATATTCTACACTGCATACATATAAATTGAGGGCTCAAGTTCATGATTCTATTTAACTCATGCTATATTTAAAATAAATCACAAAATGAATGTATCTTTAAAAAAAAAGCATCACTGACACATGAATTAATTGTTGTCTGTACTGTAGAGACAGCCATTTCATCATATTTTTTCCCAGAAGAGTCAACTACCTAATTCTTTTAACCTGACATTGCAGACTTTTCTCACCATTGACTCAATGGCCTTTATCATTGTCTTCTTCATTTACATGCCCAAATATAAGACACCTGACAAATTCCCTTGGAAAAGGAAAAACAGAGCACACACTTAAATCTGCTCATTTTCTTGCTATTGGCCTGCATCCAAGGATAAGCAAAATAGGAGACAGGTACTCACAACAGTGCTTCTGTCCTCACCCAGATTTATTTTGTGTTCCTGTTAGGGGTTGTTGACATAATTAGACCTGTTAAGGTTGGCAAAAATGTGACTACCTGGACTTGACTATAATCATATACAGATTCAGATACTTATCTGGAAGAGAGGGCAAGAACAAGAAAAAACATAATCCTCGGCCCTTCAGTTCTATAAAACAGAGGTGTTGGTAACACAGAAATGTATATGCAAGCAGACCTCAGAGGGTACAGGTTTGGTTCCAGACCACTGCAATAAAGTGAGTACTGCAAGGAAGCCAGTCACATGAATGTTTTGGTTTCCCAGTGCATGTAAATTAAGTTCACACTCTACTGTAGTCTATCGAGTGTGAAACAACTACAGCTAAAAAAGCAAAGTACAAACTTAAATTTAAAAATACTTTATTGCTAAAAGATGCTAACCATCATCTGAGCCTTCAGCAAATCATAATCTTTTTGCAATAGTAACATCGAAGATCACTAATCACAGATCACCATAAAAAACTTAATAATAATGAAAAAGTTTGACATACTGTGGGAATTACCAAAATGTGACAGAGACATGAAGTGAACAAATGCTACTGGAAAAATGGAGACAACAGACTCCCTTGAAGCAGGGTTAACACAAATCTTCAATTTGTAAAAAATCTGCGAAGCACAATGAAACAAGCTCTGCCTGTATAACCAAACTAGTTTTGTACAAGGAAGATCTAATCTTAATTTAAGCCAGTATCAAATGACTACATGATTACATGTTAAACTGGAAGCAGGCCATTTGTAATGAGAATTTAAAATTTTGTTTCAAGATTTAATAGAAGCAAGCCAATTTAGAATTTGGTGGTTCAAAAATACACTTTATAGGGAACTATAAACAAAATAGTTCATCGGTAAGTTTTTATGACACAGGTAGTGACTACAAATTTTATCTGAAATGGATAGTAAATATTCAATTGTGCCCGAAAAGCACTATTTCCATGCAAATAATTACTGTTAACTGATATCGATGGTGAACTATTGGTATTTAATTTTAGAATTACCAGTTTTGCTGTTGAATACTTCAGCACTTTACTAATCCCTTGAGTTCTCTGAAGCTTTGGGAACAACTCCCCAAATCAGAAGTTAAAAGTATTTCTTAAAAGTTCCTGAAACCGCTGTCCTTAAGGCTTTCATTCATTAGCATAAAATCCGATACCCAGCCCACAGATCAGAAACAATCAAAACGGAGTGCAAAATTATGAGAATCAAGCACAATAAAAGCAATGGTAAAATGCTCACAAAAGGACAAATCATGAATATATATAGAAACAAAATATATTCTTTGTACAGGCAATCCTTGAACAACACTGGTTTAAACTGTGCAGGTTCACTTATATGTGAATTATTTCAATAAATACATACTACATGATCCGAGGTTGGCTGAATCCACGGATGTGTAACCAGACAGGGAGGGCACACTATAAAGCTACATGCAGATTTCTGACTGTGTAGAGGGCTCACATCCCTATCCCCGCTGCATTGTTCAAGGGTTAACTATACTGTTAAAATAGTGTAAAATCATCTGTTTAAGAAAGTGGAGAAATTGTGTCAGTAAAAATGATTCTTTTGAATTTCAATATACGTCTAATCTAGTAGGTTGCTCCCCGCCCCCACAAAAGAAATACATTAAACAAAAGAGAAGATTTTCTGAAATGTTACGCCTCTTGATTCTCCTCTCAAAAACTTAGCAAGCCATTTACACTCAGAGTCTCATTCATGAAAAGACATAGAACAGTGTTTCGGCGACTACTAATCCACAAAATGTAGCAACGAGTTGCTCTCACCTGCTGAGAATGTTGAACAGGTTGGGAAGCTGGAACCCCTGCTAAACTACTTGAAGACGGCTGACCCTGGCTCTGCCCCTGTGCCTGAAGGAAAGAAGTGAACACAAAAAATTAGAGGAGTTCAAAGGTAAGTCTATAGAGAGGTCAGGACTTTGCAATAAGTATGTGAGCTCCTGAGAATTTGCCTGAGCAAAATGAAACATTAGCTTGAGTAACCGTGTACGGGAGAGAGCACTGGGGCGTGTTTCTAAAGAAAAGGTTAGAGAAGAATCATATAGCAGAACATACTCTGATTCCACGCAGAAATCACTGTTAAAACCTAACCTACCCTGTGGCTCGGGCTATACTTTTTGCGAAAATAGTAAGATCCGTAATAAAATTGGTACTGAAAAGAATCAGGAAAAAGGTAGAAAGACTATCAATACGAAAAAACTATCTCAGCACCTAAAGAGAAAAGGTATCTGATAATGCTATTTTGGTTCCTTTTTGCTACTTCTTGTAGTTTCATGGTGACTTTTGTCAAAAATGTAAAAAAATTATCACCTCCACTGGGGGTGATCTGGACATCTGGCAATACCTGGAGGTATTTCTGGCTGTCACAACGGGGGAAGGTGACTGCTAATGGCGCCCAGCAGGTAGAGGCCAGGGATGCTGCCGCACATCCTGCAATACACAGGGCAGCCCCCACAACAGAGGTACCTAACCTAAAACAGCAAAGCGCTGAATCTGAGAAACCCTCACCCAAAGGGGTCTTAAGCAAAAACAAATGAGAACGTGAGACGAGTGCAGGGCTTGATATAGGCGAGTTAAGAAAACAAAACAGCCCACATTTGCTGTTTCATTTCAGTTTAGAGGGGCCTCTCTGAAGCTACCTGGATAGGACACCACATTCCATTGCATCTTAACCACTCTAAGTATTCATTCGTCCTGCAATTTTTCTATAAATTAACTACCTGATGTTTGAAATTTCATTTTGTGAAGTTTAAACGAGAATGGGTGGCCGTGCATTCAGTCACAGCAGGCCAGACACCAGTGTATTAACGTGAGCGTACCACACCGCATGTCCACGTGGGACAGTTCTCACATCTCTGGATCTTTTTGCTTCTTAGAACTACTCTAAGTATGTGACACTTGATGTAATATTTTCAGAGTAATTCATGCCCCTGGGGGAAGAACATAGGAAGAAAGTATAAAGAAGAATATATAGTACTTTATAAAGAGTGAGGTATTTAAAAGATCCAAATGGTATCTTGAATACATAATTGCAAAGTTTCCTATCTAATTAACTGCATGGTCTCCTACACAGATTTTCTAAGACTCATACATTTGACAAAATGTATCGAGAAATATATGGAATAGTTAATACTGACTCCACATCTTGACTTACATCCATTACTTTGTCTTTATTTCCAGGAGACTGCATATGCTCATACACATAAACAACAAAATTTAAGCTCGCTGAGGAAAACCTAAGGCCTGAGATATCTAATGCTCCTCACTGTGCAACATGTATCATACATTCTCAAAACGAAAAAAACCCACACTGGATCCTAACTTAGTTGCTAAAAACTAGAATCAGTCGATTCTATGGATTAACATTTAAAAAAAAATCTTTTAATGTTGGTACAGGGGATTGAACCTAGGATCTTGTGCACGCAAAGCATGTGTTCTATCCACCCCCATGAATTAATATTTTAACATTTAAAACATAGTGGCTTGTTTGACTATGCCATTTTAAAAAGGCATCTTCATTTGTTAAGACAAATTGCTACGATGTTTCCTGCCTTTTAAGATCCTTCCAAACTAATGAAAATTCTGTATATTCTTACTACTACTTCAGAAAAAAAAAAAGTTCTCTATTTTCCATTCTCTTCATTTGACAGGAAAAAAAAAAGTCCTCTTCTCTATTTTTTAAAAAGTAGCCACGTTTGTCTCTAGGGAGAAAGAAATACTTCACATTAACATTTGTAAATAATCAATGCTGAGCCAACTTTACAGACACTTGCACGTTCAAAACTAGCTGAAAACATTCTACATATGGAGAGAAGTACTGACTCTGACAAATGACTAAAACTCTAGTTTTCGTGTTCTTTTCCAAGGGTTTGCACACATTATAGTAAATCACTCAGCTTCTCTCTCACATTTTGTTCTTAAATACAAGTTGTTTAAAATACACCCCCTCCCCAGTGGAGAACCCTACGATAAAATGAGACAATATTCCTCCTGAATGGAAAGGAGAGATAGAAAACTTAAATGTAACGGTGCATAGCAGGGTAGTTTAATAGAACCGTGGAAGTTTTCCTGTAACCTGTGGATGGAGTGCAGATCCTCCTGAAGAAAATGAGGCAGATAAAACCTGCGGAGATGTGGTTCCTTGGGGGAAACAGAAGAAAAGTGGGGGTTCTTGTAACGCTGTCTGAGGCAGACGGATAAAGGGTAATGAGACGTCAGAGCCAAAAGGTGCTCCCCCTGTAGGGGGAGGTGATTGGAAATCACTGGGGTCTGAAGAAGTGATCTGTGAGGAATCACTGGAATATTCTGGGCTTCCTATTGGCCAGCTCTGTCCAACAGGCTCTGCCACAGAAACGGCCAAGTCTGGGGCCGGGTAGTTCTGCTGCTCCTCAGTCACAGGCTGCAGGCGGCCATGTGACCCAGCCAGCGGAGGGGCTGGTTCTTCCTGACTCAAGTCCACGGAGACCTGCCGACTTCGGTAAGCACGCGGAGGTAAAGCTCCCCCTCCTTCTCCTGAAGAGGAGCTCGGAGTATGAACGTGAAACTCAAACACACAAGTGCTTCTGCTCTCATTGTTATGAGTTAACACAGCAGGTGCAGAATGAGGAACAAAGACAGGGTGAAATTTCAGACGTGTAGCCTCTGTACTGATAGGTGCAGAAATGCTAGAGAGGGGAGATCCTGGACTCAGTCCAGAATCTAATCTCAAATTCTGAAGGTGTCCTACCAGGAAAGCCTGTCCAGGCGGAAATTCAAAGACAGAACTTGAGGTAGAGTCCCCCTGGCACTGGCTTCTGTTCAGGTATCTGTTTCACAGGACTTGACAGCACGGGTGAGCTGTACGGAAAACCCTCAAACTGTTCTGCCACCTGGGTCTGGTAATGCACCCCAGCTAGATACACCGCTTCCTGAGGAACAAAGTAGTGAGCTTCTTCCGGCAGCACTAGTCCAGGTCTATAGTCCCCGTAAACTTGAGCTGGCTCAAACACAGGATGGACCTGCATCTCACACGGCTCTCCAGTCACTCTACTGGCTGTGGTGCCCAACATGACTACGGGCTCTGGTGTCCAGTTAGTTGGGCTTCCACCAGGTGGAAGAAGATTTTGGCCAACAGTCCTCAGCAGGGGTTGAAAGTGATGAGTTTGGGCTTCCAGGAAGGAGGTGCTCTTACGCCGCTGGGAAATGGCCACCTTCGGTGGACAGGTGGGAGGTGGTGAAAAAGAAACTGGACGTTCATGAATAGTTGGGAAAAATATCTGTGATTCTGGGTAAGTTGGGGTCCCCCCACGCGGATGCGCCATGGACTGAGGCTGTATCAACATGAATAAGACAAGTAATTCATACATTCATATGTGAAATTACATTAGACATGCACAACTGGGTAGCTCTGTGTAACCCTATGACGTGGTTACACCAAATTTATAATTCATCAAGAAATAACAATGCTTTTGGAAATTATGTGCATAGTAAAAATCCATTAAATACATCCAGGGTCGATAAAATTATTCTGTGGGACTCTTTGCATTAGGTAAGAGCTGCTTTTCCACAACTTCCCTCTCACAGGAAATGGAAGAATGTAAGTATCTAAGTGATTACTCTGTTTTTACCCACAATTATTATGTCCACTTATGACTAAATGTAAACTCCATCAGTGGAAACAGAGTTAAAGGAAGAATGAGATTGAACCAAGTCTTCCTGTTCTGACCGTCCTGTGCTGTGTGAGAGGCTCTAGGGTTTATTTCTGATCAACTAACAGTATGTCTTCTAACTAGAAATCAGAAGAGATTTTTGGTGGATAGTGAAAAACACAACTTGGCTAGTGACAGTACTGTCTTCTCCTGTCTATCCCAAACCAGAGCCAGTTAATTTTACTACAGAAAACATGTTACAGACACCAAATCACTGAATATCCACTTTTCTGATCCTGGATAATTTGGGGTTCAAGTCAGGTGAAAAGGATAATGTAAATAATTTCCAGCCATCTAACAGTAATTTTTGTCACAGAAGCAGTTCTAGACTTAAAACTTGAAATTTAGAACCCTACCTCGTCAAATGCAAACACGCACACTGTAACGTTCACTTCTATGAACTTTTTAAAAAAGGCAGTTTCATTCTTTCAATAGGAAGACCCCTATCAAATTAGCAAAATGGCTCCACTGTTACTTCTTCACAACAGCTAAAAGGAACTTTCTGTTTTGAATCAGAATGCTCCATTTTACTGTTGTTTATTCAAGGAGGATCCCAAACCCATGAAACAGTGTATTAGAGAACTAATCAATCTCCTAGGTAAAAAGCTAAAGATTTGGGGGTTGCTAGATCAGAATGCTAACATCATTCTCTATCTGGAAAAGCAGCAGCAAGGTCCCACAGTGTTTAGAATAAATTTACAAAACAGATCTTCCATAGACATGAATGGGCCAAACAAACCTGTGTGTACTACATGGATATCGGACGTTTTCATTAGAGTCAAAGCCCCACCTTACTCAATCTAAGGGAAAAAATGTCCAGGAAGGAACATTATGTGGTCTTTTAGTTTGCTGACGTATCATTTTAAACAGCTGACAAATTAAAACCAACTTTCACTCTTCAATTATTCTTTACTGACTATGGGGAAAAAATGGACTCATCCACCTTCATTAATGTCTCTTTAGAATAAAGTGAGGAAAAAACATGTTTGGGTAATGTTTGATAAAGAGAAAATTTGCTTTTGATTAAGCCAACAGTAAATTTAAAATTAAGTAATACACATATTCTTCACTAAGTTATGAAAATGCAAGGATATATACACACACTGGTGGGGGGTGGGGGAATTTAATAAAAGCTAAATTTATTGCACACAAACTGGTATGTGCCAAAGGTATCAGAAGCATTCTCTCTCATTACCTCCTTGCTTTTCTCCCCCTTAAAGCCTTGTAACAAAAAAACTTCCTACAGGAAAAACTGGTATCCTAGAAGCATAACACATTATGAAGTTTAGTGCTATTCTTTATTTTTTTGTTAAAATTCTTGATGCCTGGATGTATTCATTGGCAATATATTTTCACTTGTCAGGAAGTTTATGGTTACATACAGTACTGACAAAGAGGGAAGGCAGGCTGGAGCGTCGGTGCTTGCGCTGGAAGGCAGAGTGCATAGGCAGGACACTCTCCAATGCTTTAGAAAGCTTTTCGGCAAAAGTTTCCTCGGGGGCAGTCCGAAGGAGGGAAGGAGAAAGAGGTGCAGACAGCACTGGTGGTGGGGTGGAGGGAGCACTGGGAGAGATGCGGGACAGAGAGGGAACAGCAGAAAGATGGGGAACACAAACCGACATGCTACGGCCGCGACGAGGCTAAACAGAAAACAAACATACATGAAAATACAGCACTCTGAAAACAAAACAACCAAATGCACTGTGATAACAGAGGCACAGTTGACATGAACGTTCCATCCTCCCCCAACTCCACAAAGCACACCTGGCAGGCGACAGCTGTTCTCTCCACACTGTGGTCAGGAATGGGTGGTTTTCTATGAACAGCTGTGATAATGATCAAGTATCTCCCTAAATATTCTGCAATAACATTAATTGTTATGAGTGTATGAGTAAGAATGAGTGGCTGACTGAAGTAGCAGAAGAGACAGGAAAAAATGATGGTTACTGGCTTGTAGTTTCTGTAAACTTATTAAGATTAGACAAGAATAAATTCTATTAGTTTAACGTACATCGTAAGATAAGTAAGATTTTAAGACTGGATTGCTCTGCAGGAGCTCTGGAAACCCCAAAGATTTCTCAGTCTTATTTTAGAAGGCATTACACTAAAAAAAAGGTGTTGGCTCACAGTATTTTATTTCCCTTGCCTATCTTTATCTGTAAAGGTAAAAAGTCATTTCCTACTAGGAAAAGCATTAGCTTTCTATAGGTAACTCACAATAGATACAGGAAAGACTGTATTCTTACCAAAGTAGTCAATGGAAAGATATCTCAAATGTGACTCTCTAAAAAATAACTTTAAATTTTTTTCAAGCACATGAGAGGTTCAACTTTGGTTTACAAAGTTCTGAAAGTCTGAAGCACCTGAACATAAAGGTTTAACACAGCTACAAAGCAGCCCATCAAATGCTACAAGGCTGTCCTAGCAAGTCTGTTATTTCCTTTTAGACAGTAAACCATGTAACTAACTACATTTTCACTTTTCTCCACCCGTTCTTTTTCTTTTTATTCCACTTGTAAGTGATATACTACTGTAAGCCGCAGTAAATTCTTTCTGTAGTAAGAAAATAATTATAAAGTTTTTTCTTAAATCCTCAGTATTCAACAGCTTTTCATGATACCTTCATAGAGTATTGTCATTAAAAGGCAAGACTATCATTTCATTAACAGTCTGCTTTTAGAGCATCAATAAATGTAGCCTATTTGTGGCTCAAATATTTAACATCTTCATAAATGATCATTTCATTTCCTTTTCTAAAACAGAGATCTGAAATTCATAACCCTGTGATGAGGGAAGCCAAGAAATTTAAAACAGTTAAAAAAAAAAAGACAACTTGGAAGAAGTCAGTTAGCGCCACTGTCAGTTTCTAACTGACAAGAAATGCTGACAAATACTGTCAGATTACAGAAATATACCTGTACAGTCTGTAGAAAGCTCTTCTACTCTACCTACTTAAAGATCAGAGAGGTAGACTGTTAGAACATTAGTACACTGGGAGTTTTCTTTGTGTTACTATGGCCATTCATCTTGAGACCCGGCCAGCGCAGGACTGATCAACAGACCATGAAACAAGCAAACACCTTTTACTCCAAGCCGCAGGATAAGAGACCAGAAAAAGGAGAAGTGTTTCCTTACCAGAGAAAGAGAGATTTCATTCAGCAAAGAAAAACAGTTTCACAAAATCCAGATTAAAAGCTTTCTGAGAAGGATGGAAAATCTACCTGCTTAAAGATCTCACGAGACAAGAGCTGAACAGTGACCAGTTGTTCTCAGTTCCTTCCTGAGGCAGACAATGCATCTTATTTACCCTTGAAGACTTCATGGAGTGTTAGCAAAAGAAATGTGCTATTGTCTAATGGTCTATCTGAACATTCTTTAACTGAGAAGCAAGACTGGTTAATGCAAAGCATGGGTAATAACACGTGTGTGTGTGTATGTGTATACATTTGCATATATATAAATGTATGAAGTATTACAGGAAATAATTTCAATAAACTGATTCTGAAAATAAATCCATCATAAAACAGATACCAAATACAGGGAAAAAGCAAATGAACACGTACCAGGGAAGGAACTCGTGTCCAACACAGACTTTAAGGCAAGAACACGCATAGCAACTGATGATGAGCTCAACACAAGCGCTAAATTCAACGGTCATATACAAATACAGGGGTCCTCACTCCAGAGCACTCACATGCAGCATTCTGCAATGGTGTGAAGGTCTTACCTGTGTTTTATACAGTAAGACATCTTATAGAAAACACTTAGTAACTCTTTTAATAAGTAATTTCTGCAAAACTCTCCTTGGCCCCACCCCCAAACCATTTGTATGTCCAACTTATGCTGCTCTGAACAGTTTCAACTCATAAATGCTAAAGAGAGCATTATCTTTAATCAAATGCAGATTAGTTTAAATCTTGTAAATAGTTTCTTCACATATTAGCATACATCTCCCACCCTGCCTGAACTACTCCAATTACACCCTGTAATAAACTGACTTCCTTTAGCATCACCATTTGTATTTTTATACTTCAGATTCATGCTATTACTAGTTTAGCAGAAAAGTCTGAACCAAACACATTAGTTACTGATTCTCATTACAGGCTTACACTCTCTTATGTAGTCACTCACCATACTCGAGGGCGGATATACCCCATGAGGCTGAGCCTGTGCCGGGACAACAGACGCCGTGTGCCCCGGGAGTGCGCCAGTAGAATGTGCCTGCTCATGCTGGGAACCATAGGAGACTGTCTGTTGGCTGCTCACTCGAGATTCTGTGAAGACAGAAGATCCCTGACCACTGTCAACCGTCCCGTCAGCTGAAAGAGAAATAAATTGCCAAAAGAAAAGACAGAGAGACAAATCACAAAAAGGAGGTTCACATTTTCCCATCACAAACTCTTGATTTTAAGGTTAATGAGCTTTTTCTTTACACAGACCTGAACTAAATAAAAAATGAACACTAATTTTACTAAGTAGATTTGTATGTTTAAATGAGGGATCCATGTAGAAAAAAGCTCTGTCTTTAAAAAAAAATCCCTTGGCTAACACAGGATCTTACCACTGGAAGAACAAGGGAAATAAAATAGAATGTTGTTGGCCAGCCTGAAGTTTGACACAGCTTCCAAACTCTTAACTGTGGAGACCAGTGGTTTCTTAGTATCGAGAAGGTAGTTCAATTAATAACTAGCAGTCTCATTAGTTTCTAGTTTATACATTATTCAGTGTTGCTAAAGAAGCTAAACCAGATTAATGGGTTCAATAATAAGTAGCTAAGATAACCTTGTTAATTTTTCATTATGAATTATATTTTACTTTCAGGAATTGTGAAAAGTAGAAGTCTACAAATCAGAACTTCCAAGATGCTGGAGCCTGTAACATTATTTGACATCCTAATCACATTTCCTCACCATCCCATCCTTTTGCTCTATTAGCCATGGACGTAAGGACAGAAAGAAAAGGTAGACTTCTCAAACTTCTTATTTGTATGTTGGATTCATAATTCAAAACCAAGAGGCCAGCACAAAATGATGGTCAAGAAGATAAAAGGTCAATTGTGACTGTCATTAGCAAGCTTGTCCACTTCCGCAAACACTTACATAACACGGATACACTTGGTTGTTGGTACTGCAGCTGCTGATGCTGATCAGCCTCCGGCTCCTCCGGCTCCACTTGTGTAGACACAGAAGCTGAGGCGGCAGAGGCAGCAGGCAGGCCAGGGCAGGTGGAGGGGGGTGGCGGGACCCCCGCCTGGGGAGCGCCTGGCGGCGGCTCGGCCTGCTGCGTAAGCCTGCTCTCCTCCTGCTTCCTCTTCTCCTGCTCCTCCCGCACCAGCTGCCGCTGCTCTCGTTTCCTCTTAATCAAGGACACTCTGTCTCTGATGGCTTTTGCCATGGTCTTGTGATCCCCTTCACAGACATACCCAGACTCTACCTACAGGAAAGCGGGGAATTAGGAAGCAGCAGATAACAAGCCAAACACAAAACTAAAAGGCCACCCTTGGAGAGAAAGGAGAGAAGAAGGGGAAGAAAGAACTGTCTGAGGACTGATCTTAATTAGCCAAACTGTGAAACACCTGGTCTGCATTATGTTTGTTTTTGTGGATATTCGTGGGGTGGCTGCCATTATTTTTGTAGAAACTCGTGGGTGGCTGTACCTTCACTAATTATAACAACAAAACAACGGGGAGCTTAAACATCCAAGTTTTTAAACCAAAAGGCTCATTCTATTGTATCTGTTCTAATTCCCCCTCATACGTAACCATCAATATTAACCTGCGTTGCAGGGAGGGTGTAGCTCAGTGGTAGAGTGGGTGCCTCGCATGCACAAAGTCCTGGGTTCAATCCCCAGTCTCTCTATGAAAAAGTCAATAAATAAACCTGCTACCCCTCCCCAAACAAACAAAAATTTTACAAACCATAGTAACTTGCGTTGCTTTTACTTCCTTTCACTAGACAACCACTTTCCCAGATAAATATATGAAGGTTAAAAAAAACCCAAACCTCAAACAGTGTAAAAAACTAACAAAAATAAGCACCTCTCTTATACCTGACCCCTTCTCAGAAGTAACTACTATTGAATGGTTCTTATAAGCTCTAGTAGAGGTAGTCTGTGAATACATTTGCACAGCAAATGCCTATTCAGGCACCTTGAGAAGCCTACGATTGGCAAAGTGTTTCCCTTTTGAAAAGTGATCTTTTAGACATACTTTAAAAATGATTTGCAAAAGGCCACTTACTAATAATTGACCTTGAGGTCAATTATTTTCCCTCCCTTTGAAGGAAAAACAATGCATGATCTATTTTTAGGATTTACCCAGATGACTGATCAAAGGCTATTGTATCAGAATTTAGAAGACATAACTTGTCAGTCTAACTAAACAGGTTTATACTAATTAGGAGTCGGTCAGTCAACTTTATGGACTCTGAAAATTACTTCAGAATGCATTCCAGTTCTACCTGTCTGTCTACCCATCCATCCCCATACATAAACGTGTCTATATATGTCTACTAAAACAAACATAACACCTGAGGCCACAGATCAAAACAGCTTTACATCAGTGGGATGTGCCATACACGGCTTCATAAACCGCTTTTTCGCTCGACAGTATCAATGTATACAAATCTGCATCAAATTTTAAATGGCTAATTAGTGTTAATTTACCATTTCCTGAGCAACATCTTCTGGCACATCTCTCTCCAGGTCAAAGGAAAACTCAATAGCTTCATTGTCTTTGTATTTCCCCTTCAACTTCTTAATGTCTTCAATACGTAGCCATAATTTAATGGCTATCTTTTCTCCATCATCTTCTTCTGCTAATTCTACCCGTACCCCTGTTTCCTCCTGGAAGAAGGCATGGTTCAAAAGGTCTTTGATAGAATATCTTCCAAAGAGAGGGAAAAAAACAAAAACAGAACAAAATGCCATTAGATTTAAGAGATACTTTTCAAGTATAGCTGATTGTTGTTATGTTTGGACTAATGAAAACAGACCGTGAAAAGAGAAAAGGGAAATTTTCTAAGTCATTCCTACATTGTTCCATTTCATAATGATTATAGTTTTACTCAGCTGACAGAACATCAGAACAATCTCATTTACAAATAAAAGCAGAAAGTGGTACTTTTAAATCTACTGAGCTAATCTTGTATTAGTTAACACTGTACTAGTAATAGCAATTAATACATACAGAATAACATAGCTTCAAAATACCATATAATTGTTTAAGTAGCAATTACAGTGAACAAAAATTCCTCCTATGTACAATCTCATCTGATCCTTGACCAACATCCAATGAGAAATCATTTCCTGATAATTAGGAAATGGATCCTCAGAGATTGACGATCTTGCTCATAGTTATAAAAGTCATAAATGGTGGAATCAAAACTCAAAAATAAATCTTTTTATTTCTAGTGCATTACCTTCTAATACAGCAAACTTTATTTACTCCAATAAAACCTCTCAATTCCTTGTTCAACAACTTGTATACTAGGCAAGAAGTCTGACTGTGGAACAATTTTCTCTAGATAAATGGTCTCAAAATACCAGTAATCTAGTAGACTGTTCCACCCAGAAAAGAAACAAGAGCAACATGTTCTAAGGCTGAAAACAAATATTCCTTTGTTTATAATAAAAAAAAAAGTTCTTAAAGAGACTAAGTACTCTCCTTTTCAATCAGTATACATAAAAATAGAAACCCATACTAAAAAAAACTAAAGATCATAATGTTAAGCTCTTCCAAATAACGAAGTTATAAAAAGAAAAATGAGACTGGAGAAGCGAGATATGGAATTCTTTAGTTTGGCTGATACACCTGATCACATGCATTCTTCAAGAGGTAGATTATGCTCAACTTACAATTTGTGTCTGTACTGGCTGGTCTACTTTTTCTTCTTTGTTGGGTGAGGGGGGGAAAGATTACTTTCCAAAAACAGACACTGGATCTTTGCCCTGCCTAACGGGTGGTGAATCAGCTATATGGCAGATCAGGTACTTGCCACTCTCTGAGAAAAGTCCTCTGTTAGCACAAACGACTAAGCCAGATCTCCTCCCAAGCTCTGGGCGAAGTCGTCTCTTTTTATTCAAAGGAGTTTCGACACTTTGCTCTTCTTCAATTCTGGCATAAAACTGCCTAGCTGAGCTGATTTTAAAGAGCCAATGTTTTGTCTCATCTTCAGAACTCAATGAACGGGTCAAGGACCAAGAGCAGATTTGCTGAATAAAGACAGAACCCTACTGAGTTTTACAGATTATTCTGATGCTACAACTAAGCAGTTCTTACTGAACGCACTATGTTTATGGTGGTTCTGGTTTACTTAAACTCAACAAAACCACATGTTTACAACATTTCAGTGTATCAAGTCTGAACACTGTCTTCAATGGGCAGAACTCTACTTTTAAAGATACTACGTGACGTAAACGGATAAACTGATCACACGTGAAGTATTAATACACTGTAGATTGAGTGTTTTATTTAGAGCACGTTACATTTTAAGTTTTTGTTTAAGCAAAACCCAGATCAAAAGAGGCAACTTACCTTTCATCTTTGTTTTGTCGTATGCATCCTTCAATAATTTCTTTCACTTCAGGAATTGCTACTTTGTCAAAACTGGCTGGCTTTACCCCCTAAAATTATAAAAATAGCGACACAAACACATTAATGAAGGCAGGGACTTTAAGCTCTGATTTTCACTTGCCTCCGACGGTTTTACCAGATTGCCTTCTTACCATTCCAGCTTTTTTCTGATTTGCCTGCAGGAGCTAGTCTACGCAGGGTCAGAGTTGGGTAGTGGCAATTTAGCCCCCACAAGATAACAGAGAATAATTAGACAGTAGAGTCACTTACTTCCATGGCCTCTATATACAGCTAGTGAGAAATTTAAGCTATTGTTAACATCTTCTGCTGTGTTTCAGAGAAAGGAAGTTATTGGCTAAAAGGTAGGCCAAATGTTCTAATTGGTTAAAAGATCTTCTGTTCAGCTTTGTTCCCCAACACATTAATCAACACAACACCTAACTCTTTTGAACAGTGAGTCCATGTGCGGGCATGAATGCACATGCTCATTTGGCAGGTATTCTATGATTGCAGTACTCTTGAACCAACTCAAGTACAGAAGGAGTTAGGAATTTGGCTTGGTGTGGCATGATAACTAAAGAGCAAACTGTCTTGTACACAGGAAACATAAAATGACAAGCAGTATTTCAGACCCATGTGAAAGACAACTCTTCCAATTAATTTCAAAAGAAAATTCAGTGTCACTATTATATGCACTACTAAACAGCATCACAGTAGTACTTCAGAATCTTCACGAAGTGTAAATTCTCTGCAAATAAAATTTAAGCAAAATGTGGGAAGTATGTATAAGATAGAAGACTAACAAAATACTCCTGTCTGAGAGGTGGTGTGAAGAAAGGCATCTCATTATTCTCACCCCATCTAAGTAACCACTCGAACAAGCAGCTACACTGACACACTGCCAAGCTGCACTCTAAGTCTATAATCACATAAAACACAGGGGAAGGGGACTAGAAAAGCTAGAATACGTATAAATTCTAAGCAACTACTGTTTCAGGGCAATATACATTAAAACACTATTAGTGACATAATTTGATAAATCACAGAAGTGTTTGTAATCTCTCACGGGTTACGGTAAAATACATCAAATGGCTTTGTTTCTGAGTAACGACCGCAAAGATCACTGTTTGTATTTTCTTCACTCTTCTTATTTTTCAAAGTCCAGCGAAGTTTTCCCAACTGGTCTTTGCCTTCACATAACCATTCTAATGAGAACAAGAAAGTAAATGCTGCTGAAGCAAAAAGCTGCTTTAAGTGAGCAAGCTGGTACAGTATTTTAAACTCAGGCTAAAAGAAAATAGGACCTGTTTTAAAGGGAAAAAAAGAATGATGCTTACTGAAAGTTTTCTGGTAGTAGAAACACTGGAGATTTTGTTTTATATGTTTTTAATTTTCTACAATAAACATGTAAAAGTGTATAAAAGCAAACTTCAAGATACTATTTATGAATACAACAGGAAGAACAATCCAAAATACTGTATATTAAGTTTAGAGAACATTCACTATCGGCAGAAAGTTATCTGAAAGACTGTTCTTTGGTAAAATAGAACACCAGTACATAACTGGCCTTTGCATGCAAAGACATTCCAAATACTACAGGTAAGTGGTTAAAGAGGCTATAGAATATGTTTAGAAAAAAATGTTCCTACTTCCATAAACACATACATTTTAGAGGAATGTAGTTTGGCCTTCTGGCAATAAAACTCTACATGTTAAGTTAATAAATCACACATATACTGATTATAAGACTCTTCTGCCTCAATTTAGCACAGGCATACTGAAAAGATGAAAGATTAAACAGGAGACTTGAATTCAGTGTGAACTGGACAAGGAGAAGCAGCTCTGAGCTTCAGATTCTCTGTCTAGAATGTGGCGATAGCTGTCTGTCCAACTATATGTACAGGAACTAGAATCAAATGTGGTCTCTAGGTTGAAAGCTCTTTAAATTATTTAGTTTGCTGACCTAAGGCCACCTTTGACTTCAAAGGCACTCACTAAAGATAATAAACAGAGTTAAAAGGAAGTGAAGAATTCTCTTGGAAAAATGTTCACCAAGATACACAGTCAATCTGCTTTCAAAGATGAAAGGTTATCTTTAAAAATAAAAAGTCCTCTTCTTAATATCCTCCCCATGCAAACATATATACATTTATAATTTTACAAACAAGAATTCCTTTTTATAAATAGAAATCTCAGTTGAACAAATGAGATACAAGGTCATGCAAGTGTAACACCTTGATTCTACTCGGTTCAGCTGCTTTCTCAAAGCACAGCCAAGATTTAGGCATAGAAAATTCTGTACCAACGCTATACAACATATTCAGATGCCACTGCTGCCTTAAAAAATGTGGCAGGTGCCAAGACAGCCAAGAGAATGGAGAAACACCTTACCAGTCCAGCAGCTGGTATTAAAAGATTACCCATTTAGATAAAAAAAAGTAGAAGGAATTTCAGCAACCATCAAGAAGCCGGGATTATCAAAATATCTCTCAGAGTTCTTATGAATCATTTGAGAAGCAAGAATGTATGGGGACTCTATGTTAAAAATGATCCAAAAAAGAAAGGAGAAATGAGTATGAAGGCTCACTGACTCTGAAAGTGACCTACAGAAAAGTCATCTGGGACACATGACACAAAGCTGCTTAAAATACATAAGTACAGGTTTTGATACACAGTACTCATCAAACTCGTAGGCTTCTTGGTCTTAAGAGGTAAGAGAACTTTATTTCATAACTGATACTTTTTTTTTAATTAGAAAGCTGGCTTAAGATTATTCTAAAACATGATTTTAAGCATCAGACAGAAGAAAGTAATGATGAGAAAATGTTTTAATGACAGTATTTCATCCTTTTTCCTTTTTAGTTCATGTATTTCAACAAAGATGATCAACTTAGAGCCTTAAAATCTTCCAAACATCACCTCTTTTCTATGCTCCCCTGATTCAGCCCCACGCAGTCCTATTCTAGTCCTGTTTCAACCAGCAGAAGCAAAGTTTTGTTCACCTGTTCTGAACGAGGTTCAAAAACACAAACAGAAAAGAGCACTAAGGAAGATAAATTGGGCTAATGTTTCACAAAGAAGAAAAATTAAGTCATAGGCACATACCCTCTCTCTCCATCCTTTCAGAGCGAGCAACCTACCAGCTCTAGGAACATTCTTGCTTAATTACCGCTGTAATTCACAGGGCTTCTCTTTAGGCAGCAGTGCCATATTATGCTTTTTGACATGGGACAGTAGCATGTTTCTCTGCATTAAACAAAAATACCTCCTGAACAGCTAATGTATATCCATGTAAGAAACTTTAGGGGTTACATAAACTTGTATCTATTCTCTTAAAACAAACAAAAAAAAGGCAACTTTTGTGCAATCTTAAATGGAGTACACAAAAAAACCCAAAACAAAAAACAAAACAAAAAACAACAACCCAACAATTGTGCCCTCCACCAATGGGCACATCAAAAGTTGGATATAAATATTTATAAAATGTTGCTTGATTTAAACTAAGAAAAACCAAAAACATACATGCATTTTATAGACTCAGTTCTTCTGCCAACTGTATATAACTTCTGGTTTGCCAACATAACCTGCTAGGGAAAAAAGTGACTCATAATAAAAACAAAAGTTGAGTCATAATATAGTATTCTCTGATTCAATCTTCTAGCTTTTAAAAATTGTCAGCACTTGCTTCTTGAAAGCTTAAGTTTCAAATGTGCTAGAGTAACATTTATACTTTCATAAAAGGAAAACTTTTCCTAACCCTTCAGAATTGAGAAGAGCCCCCTTCCTCCTCACACAAAATGCTGTATAAGTTAACCAAACTACAAAACTGAACTAAAATAGTTTAAAAAGCACTATGAAGAAAACAATCTCAATACTTTTAACTGGAACTTTCCACACCTATCACCAAATGGCTACAACATACTTTTTGCATATACTAGAAATTCTTACCTACCTCATTTACACAATCCTTTTGAGGGCAGCAGCAGCAATGAGAATTTATAATGACAAACACTGAGCAAAAATCTTTCTTTGTAAAATCCATCAGAAAAGGCAAAACAGACTTGTTACAGTTAGAGGAAAATGGGGAGAAATGGGTAAGATGTAAATTAGCCCACAGCACAAGCAAGGCGGACATCAAGAGCAGGCTGAAGTCTGGTTTCTTGTTTAACACTAGCCGTGCCTCCCCAACTCTCAGACATGGATTTGCTCTGCTCAGCCAGCAGTCTGCTTGTTCTAGATGGACCCTTTAAACAAAGCTACATGCTGAACAGCACGGAAACTATTCTGCTACTGTTCCTCCTGCTTCTCCTCCAGCAGCAATAGAGCCCTAGACAAGCAGGATGAGATTTTTACCTGCTCAAAGCTCCGCCCATGATGTCTACAGGTTCTGCCCCCTCGACATCAAAACTTGCACTAGAAATCTGTTCATCAAAACACTCCCTTCCCTTTAATCGTATTAAAACTACGCTTTTAAAAGAAAATGGGGACTGAATTCAATGACCAAAATGTAGAAAAACGATGGACAAGAAAATAGGACAACTGGGGCATTGTTTTTTAAAACATAAACTGCCAACCCTGGGGGGTAGGGGTGGGTGCCATGTAAGCTCAGAACACGTAGCCAAAAGAACACTGAACAAGGAAGTCTCAACACTAGAGCTGGGTTCCCAGTTCAACCTCTCATATACCAAGTCTGTGTGACCTGGACCATATTACTTAAATTTACTTGAAAAGTGAGTGTAACAGTTCCTCTGTTTACCTAATTTTAAAAGTGGTGACATTAAGGTAAACTGCCTTACCACTCCCTAGTAATACATTAAAAAAATTAAACAGCTGTGATTAGGTACACAGACGTGATAAGAACTTATTCTTCTCCCTTCCCTCCTATTATTAAAAGCCTCAATATGCATATCTAACTAAAGGCATTTCCATTTGCCAGGAGGATCTCATGGACCCAAATGACTACTGCTTTGATCTTAGTGATTAAGGAAGGGTTTTTCTTCATGACATTAACAAAGATGGTAGAAAAAGCACTGTTTACTGTACTGTTATGATGGATAACAGAACAAAGTGCTACCCCTTGTAATCTGCTAAGCCTGAATCCCCATCAAGACAGTGGGTATGAAGGCTTCAATTACTCAGTAACAGTAGCATAAGGTAAGGGCTTGGAAGCTGTTTGGTAGGGACACTTCTACTCTAAGGACCAGAGATGACTATTAATCCCAACAAGCTATCTCAGAGTAGTTGCCACTGATCTCTGGCTCAACACAGTTCATCACCACTAAGTAAGTAGTCTAGGATGCCAGGTATTGGTCAGAAATACAGCAATGTAGTCCACCATTACCTTTAACTTTGGTGTTTGAGCAAGCCTGCTTAGGACTATGCTTAGCTAAATGAAAACGAAAGAGCTAGACAACAGACACCATGTTCGCTGCCTCATGGGTTCATCAGATATAAATATATGAGTAGGTTTTTAAACTTTACTGTGCAACAAGCAAAACCAAAAATGACGTAGCTTTTTTTGGACAGAAGTATAATGTACGCACAATTATCTAGATCTATGAAGACCAAAATAATTTCCAATATATACAATAAAAATACCATTCACATACAGTAACAGTCGACATGTCTAACCTCTAATTCCTCTTCCTCTTAAAGTCAGTGCCTTTCTCTGGATTTCCTCCATTTCTTTCAATAGTACCATCATCACTTCCATGATCCAGATAGAAACAGCTGTCATTCTTGGATGCTGCTTCTCCCACAGCATTTAGTACTATTATTCTCTATGAGCTCTTTAAACAAAGAGAAATGTTTAAACAGCCAGTAAATAGTTCTGCTGCCAGTATTCCTACCGCCCCTCCAACAGCCAAAGATCTCTGGTCAGACAACGTAAGTTTTTTAAACTGGCTTCTTTGCTGCCTCTCAAAATCACTGCTTCTTCGGCATAACAATTGTGACCATCAAAGTCCAGGGTCCTCTTTAAGTGCAGACCAACTTAAGATGGACCTCACTGTTTCTGCTCTTTCCAATTTGTATTTTACACTGTGCCTGGCTCAATCATCTGGCTTCATCTAATCATCTGAAATTTAACCATTTCTAATCATCTGATATCATTTAACTTGTATCACATTGTGGTTAGTAGTTCTCCACATCTACAAGATGGCCGTAGGATCACAGATCTAGAAAGAATCTGAGTTAGAGTCCCAACTTGTTCAAATGAGACAACTATAGGCCAGAGAGATCAATGCCATGTCAAAGTTAGAATTATTTCAACTCACATCTCTGAGGCGTCTAGTCTAGTACCTATCAGACATCTGCTAGATAAACCGCATTATCTTCAGCACCTAGAATAAAAGAGTGCACATTCCAGTGGGTAAGGGCCTAGTCAACAGTAAAGCAAGAACTAGAATCCAGGTTCAACAATGTCTAGTTCAACGTTACTTCTGGTCCATGTTTCAGTGCTTTTTAATCTCCTTCCTCTGGGGTGAAAAGCCCTCACAGCCAAACTTCCACCTGCTTCTCTACTTCTATCTCCCTCAGACAACTCCAGTCAACTGGTTACTTGTTCACTGAACTCTCAGTGCACATTTTCACAAGAATACTCTTTCTACTGCCCCCATTTTCAGTCAGGTGAGTCCAAACACTTCTCTCAAGGTGTACTTCAAATCATCTATATTGAGAAGGCACCAATTACAAAATATCTGTCTGAATCTCCCAGCATATAAATTATTTACAAGGTATCAAGAAATGAAAGCTGCTATAATTTATTTAAATATAGTAGAAACCATCTCTCTATATACTGTCAGTTTTTATTCTGTAGTCTAATGTTTTGTGAGTTATAGATCAACGTTCATTTGGGATAAGCTTTTCTGAGAAATTCTAAAATAAAGATTTCACAATTTTTCTTTAGCACTTAAAACATTGAAAATGATACCCAGAACTGTCTGGTTTAAGACTGATGGCCTGATTAAGATTAAGAAACTTTGATATTAATCAAATCACAATAGAGTACTAGAATGACTTTGACAATCATGCAAAATGTCCCTAACACACCCTGGTGCACAAAGTTTTCTCTTACATGTATAATTCACATTCATTGGATGGAAAGAGAATAAAATTTATAAAGGAATCATTTCAGCTAACTGCAGTGAATTTAGAACTCTGGGATATCACAAAAAAATTCCAGCTGCTAAAGAAAAAAAATACAAAGTTTTCCTCAACTTTTCAAACCCTATCTAATCAGGAATCAGCTTCACTTGTTTCTGTAAAAAACTAGGGTGAATTGCAATCAGTTACATAAAAACCAAAAGGAATTTCACCCCAACTGCTTTAATTCTGTTTTTCCCAGACAGAATGTTCAAGCCTTGCAATCCAAAGGCTAAAGCAATCAGTGACAAAGTCAAATTACACAAACAAAGTAATTAAAAATCCCCATTATTTCTAACTTGGTTGTTATGAGGCTGGATTCAGCCAGATTCTTACTGGTATGAACCATTAGTTTACAGGAATTTGAACATACTTTATGACCCCATTGGAAAACAAGCCTCTTCAAACTTCCTACCAAATCCAACCAGCTCTGTCCAAGGAAATTAGCTGACCTCATTATTCTCCAAGGCTCATTACCCCCTGGATACAGGGGAGCCCGTGTACTGCTCCAGCCTCAAGTGCACTATCCTCCGCAGAACAGACTGACGTCACTGCTTACTGTGGTTTCTGTCCTTCTAATAGCAGACAAAAGTTGTGCTAAGTACACGAGGACTCTTATTTGGAACTTCTCATTACCAATGGCAGAAATTTTCAAGATAACTTAAGCTTTTCTCCTCTAAACAGGGATCACGAACCCTTTATAAAGGGGCTCAAACCTGTGATATGAGTCTTCAACTTATGCTACCCATGTACTCTAAATTCTTTACTCGCAGATTTGTTTCCCCTGGAGGTCTAGAGGAAAACAAGTTAAACAAAAACAAGCAGAGGGAAAAAAATTTAAGGTTTGTATTAGTGTTATGTTAGAGACATTTGATTTCTGATTTTATTATTATTATTATTTTTCCTTCATGTCCTTGAGCAAAATGCTTAACCTCTGAACCTATTTTCTCACCTGTGAAATGAAGATATTTACTTACCAGAATATAAAAGATTAAAATAAGATAGCATATGTAAAGCACTTTGCAAGGTGACTGGCAAGAAACAAGATTATAAATAAATGTTAGCTCATGCGTGCACATTTAAAACTTTCCTTTATTTTAAGTTCATTAAACACATTTTAATCACTGCTGATTGTTGAACATCACTAGATAGAAGAACAGAACAAGAGACAACTTATCTCACTACGAAGCATGCCATAATGACGTTAGTGTCAACAGTGGCAGTGCCTAGTAAGTACTGACTGCTCACTGCATGGTAGGCATGTTTCCCATGTGACCTCCGTAACAGTTTAGGCTCAGAGAAGTTAATTAACTTGCCCCAGGTACACAAGACAGGAAATGACAGCGCTGGGATTTGAACTCAAAGAGACCCAACTCCAGAGCCCATTTACTCCCCAGGCAACATAAAATTGTGTTTCACTCCCTACAGTTCTATGTTTATGTATTCATTTCACAAATACTGACTGAGTGCCTGTTACCTGCCAGTCTCCAAGCACTAGGAATACAGCCAAGAACAAGTCAGATAAAACGAACGACCCACAAAATTTATATTCTGATTGGGGCTTTAGATAAATACTGTAAAGCTGTGATAAAAGCCACGAAGGAAATAAAACCATAAGTAAGGGTGTGTGCACACTTAAGACTGTTTTAGATGGATGGGCGGGGAAGGCCTCTCTGAGCAAGGAACACTTAAAGTAGAGACCTGAAAGAAATACATGTACAGAACAATGACACACAACAGTTTATTATCAATGTACCAGAGAATGTAATCATTAAACCCATCTACATTTACCCCTCAGGACAGACTGACGCTGTAACAAACATTTATGGATTCAATATAGCATTCTGACATGAGCAGGGGGACCTGGGACCAGAATAAGAGAACAACAAATAACTCTTATGTAGCCACGGGCTGCCCATCCTGGGCTTCACACTACCTAGCTATGAAGTGTTGATAACAGTAACAGCAAACCGCCCCCTGCCAAAGCTGTTGGAAGAACTAAATTATGTATGAAACATGTGCAAAGTGTTTAATGCAGTGTCTGGCACACAGGGTGTACATTTGCTCATATTTACACCACTATCGCCTGCTATTTACATGGCAGTTGCACTACTGCAAGGCGCAGACATGTAGTAGTGAACTGATCTACAGAGGGGGAAGACACCTGTCCTCCAGAGGCTCAGTTCTACAGGCGCGGGGGGGGGGGGGTTGACATCAGTATTACTATGAGAGGTTGAGTATGAGAAGAACACTGAAGAGGGAATAATACTGGCATGACTTTCTCCAAGAAACCGGGGGGTGGGATGGGAATTCTAGAATATTTCTGGTAGAGTGCCAGAAGACTGAGGCTACTTACTGGCTCATTCCTCACACAGAT